CAGTGAAAAATCACGTACAAGTCTTGTGAGGTACGATACACATGAGGTGAGGGTTTACCTCCCTTGTCGATATCCGCATCGTGACAACAATAGGGTCCATTGAGTTGCAACAGGTACTCGGCGTGAGCCGCGTATAGGTCGCCTACGCGACGCTCTCCGCGTCGAATCAGCGGCAACTCAAGCCCGAAACCTGGATCAATTCTCCGCACCGGACTCAAGACAGGAACTTCCCCACTTGTCTCGTCGTCGAAATAACCGACCGGAACGTTGCCGTCGGACTCGTTTTCCCACTCGGTGAGTACAGAGCCTTCCGTATCTGACCAGTCCGAATTTTCAGATTCTGAAGAGTCGCTAACTGATTGTAAGTCAGGCATGTCGTCCCAGGCGGTCTCGACATAGTGCAAATCAATGCCAGCTGACGTCTCAGTGGTGGCAGCCAGCTCCCTGAGCTGTTCAGCCAGAGAATGGCCTCCGATTTCCACGCTGTACGAGGTGAGTCCAGGAGGTTTTCCCTTCTTGTCTGACTTGACCAGGTTGGCTTTGGGGCACGCATTCGCATAGTGACCCGTTTCCTTACACAGGAAGCACTTGCCTTGCTCCCGGAGCTCAGCAAGTTCCCGGCTCGAGAGCCGGGGCTCGTTCTGGGTGCGAGAGGATCGCTTGACTCGCCCGGATGATTTCTTGCCCTTGTTCGGCCTGGCTTGGTGAGTTCTTCCGCCGTTATGTCCCTGAGAGCGGCGCTGATCATCCTGATGATTCTCGCGATTGTTACGATGCAGGTACGCCTTCTGCTGGCTTCTGGTGCGCGAGGAACTTCGATTGTTCCGCTTGCGCCCTCGAGGTTCGTTCCCTGGGCGGGAATAACGTCCTCTGCCGACCTTTTCAGCGATCTCAATAATTTCGGCAGCCTCGCGGACTTCTGGCCAAGTGGAGGTCGTCGGAGTGAGTTCCTTGTTCCATAATTCACGCTGTATGCTTTCATTCAGGCCGTTCCACAGCTTGTCCACCCGTTCTCGTTCCGAGACAAATCCGACGAGCAAGAACAAGTTCTCAAGCTCGTGCATGTAGTCGCGCACGCTACGTCCTCCTTGGTAAATATTTCGCAGCTTCTCTCGCATCTGTAAGCAATAATCTATAGGAAAACAGTAGTTGAATAGTTCTTTGAACAGATCTTCCAGCGTCCACTCCGCCGGATTATTAGAAACGGTATTTACCCAGAAGGTGTAAGCCTTCCCGGTCAAGAAATTCGAGATGGTCGAGGCGTGCATCCGTGAGTCCATAGTGTACCCCCGGATGAACTCCACGCACTGACGCATGAACTTGTGGAAGGTCTGGGCATTGGCCTCGCCGTTGTACTTCTCCGGTCGCTCAGGTTTGAGCACCGGCTTCTTGGTGCGCTTTTTCCTTTTCTTACGGGACTTCCATGAGGCTCGGCGAGAGCTCGTAGACTCACTCTCTTCAGCAGAGCTCGTATCACCGCCTTCTGAGGGTTTAGAAGAGGATGAGGATGAACTGCTAGAGCCGTCCGAGGGATCTCCGCCCGTGATGCCAGCAAAGGCCCGTTCTAGATAGCTGCCAGGCTCCAGCTGGGCCACCAGCCGCAGAGACGATGCCCGGTGAGCAGGCCCGAGACTCTTTCTCCCAGCTTCGGATTCCTGGGAGACAACAGCGCCCTTGGCCTTCCGGGCCTTCTGCGAATCCCGCTTCTTCTTACGAGCGGCCTTACGCTGCTCTGCTTCTTCCTTCAACCGAGCCAGCTCCTTGCGGATTTCCTGGAGCTGCTCCGTGAGGAGGCGGTTAGCCTCCTGGCTAGCTGAGCGACGAGGAGCGGCCATTATGGCTTCCTCGACCTCACTCGCCTCGGACGGGGTTGAAGCGCGGCTTGTAGTGTATGAGGAGCCTGACTGGGTAGATCCACCCGGTGTAGTAACCGCCGTCGGCTACGTTCTGAGTCCTTCCGCCCTTGCTTTCGAGCTTCCCAATACTCCAGCATGGCACGCTGCTCGTCTGTATCGTAGTTATCAAATATATTGTGATGCCCAGTACTATACAACTGCAGCTCGCGCCTCTGCGCGTTAGGGTCTAGCTCATCGTCTGGGATGCCCGAGGCACCCCAGTTCCGTGCATCCACGGTCTTCCCCTTGTCCCGAGAGGGACCCTCACCCCGATGCTCGGGAGAGAGGGAACGCGGGCGAGTCGTCTCGAACGCTGCCATCCGGCGGGAATAGCGGTCCCGTTCCGCTGGAGTAAGGCTCGCGGCGGCCGTATCTACGGCTGCCCGCTGAGGAGAAGTGAGTACGGGGCCGTCCTGCGCAGTGACGGGATCCCGAGCAGGCGGAGCGGCGTCCGCACTGCGAGCACGGCGGCGCCGTTGGACTGGGATCCAAGGGCCGCCGTCGTTGTCAGAGCTGTCCTCGACGGTCACTGGATACTTCCGAACGCCCTCGCCGGCGTCGGAAACGGGAGAGTTTAAAGCCCTCGGGGCATCTGCTTCTGCAGTCACCAGCCCGGCTACTATAGCGGAGGACTGGGAACCCGAGGCGGGAACACCACGCTCGGTTCCGGGGCTGACACCACCGGTAGGGGACTCGGTCCCAGTGAGAGGGCTACCTGTGGCAGGTATGTCAGCCGTGACTGCTGCAAGGGGCGGCTCACCTGGTACCGAAGGCTGAGTGGCCGAGAGAACCTCCGTGCCCGGCGGGCGACGTCTGAGGTTGTACCTAATAGACATGTCTGGGTTTTTATAATAGTAGGTTAGCTAACAAGGAGAGAGAGAGAATAGAAGTGTGCGATATAGGTCGCCGAAAGGAGTCCCGAGTTGATCAGACTCGGAGGGGGCCCAGTCGACGAGAGAGAGAGAGATAGAGACGAGAGAGAGAGATGGTTGTTGTCGAGAGACTAGCTGTCAAAAATATGACGCGCTCGCTGGCCCGAAGGGGTAGGTGGCGCGTCACGAGAGGGAATCGGAGAGGTTCGCTCGAGGTACTGACAGGTTATGAGAGTCTCGATTGAACGCTGGAGTTTGTACATACAGATCTCGGTTTATATACGGTTCACGGGCGCTATAACAGCTCTAAGGTTCGGGAACACACGGTACAGATAAGAGTTAGATAGGAGAAGCTAGGATTAGGAAGGGGCCAATCCCGAAGCACAACGTCGATCAGGTACGGAGGGGGAGAAGAGAAGTAGCGCGCGACGCGGGCGCTACACTCCAGCTCAGCTGTCTCTCACCAATGTCAGTCGGTTATTCCGACCAGCACTAGACGTGCTGAGCACCTTGCTTCAACGCCGCAAGCGGACGCCCAGATCAGATTCAGGCAAGGCTCCTCGTAGCCCTTCCCCATTGTCAGATAGCTGACATATTCCCAAAGGAGAGATTCGTGATCACGCCACCGCGCATACGTCTGTTGACGGCGGCAAAGAGGGGATGCGGGACGGGGGTTGACGCGATTATATCATGAACTACAAGTACGACTGCATGCACAGACCCGACGCCCCGTGATGCAGAACACCTATCCCCAGCAGAGATGGGCGAGGGACTGATGACACCGGGGGTCAAGCGTGAGAGAGTCTATGGTTTCCCTACCGATTGCATGTCATAACTTCAGGCATTGTAGAATTCACTAGAGCCAGAACTCTGGAAACTGAAATAGAGAGAAAGCCTGAGCCATTAGAAGAAGTCACCGCTGCCGACTTTCGGGGTCCTGGGGTCAAGCACATCTCTGATCCCCAGCGCATCATCGACGCGCATACGCGGAGAGCAGGCGGAAAGGAGTGCAGTGACCACGGACCTTGTAGACGTGCGTATAGGATCTGAATGGCAACGAACCATGCAGGGGAGAGCAACATGTGGAGGCCAATGCCGTGGCGCATGGGCACTCTAACGCAGGTAACGTAGCAGGTCGGACACGAGACTGAAGCAACGAGCATGGCTGCGCTGGATCGGCGCATCCGCTGGGGTGTGCCTATTGTCAAGAATACTGTCATTTAGAATCCGGTGTATACTGTGTGAGGTAGAGAGCAGGATGTCAGGGCAGAAGCGGTGCAGCCAGAGGACGGTGCAGCAGGACGAAGTCAAGAGAGGCGAGCGACAACCAAGTGACTCAAGAGGCGGGGCTGGGTAGGCAAAGCAGACAAGGTATGGAACGCGCGCCGACTAAACAAGCAGACCAAGCTATGCGCAAGATAGTGATTTTGAAAGGAACGATCCAAACAGCAGCAGCAGCAACAACAGCCGGCCCGTATGATGAATTCTAGATATTGCACGCGTAGCACCTTGAACGCCCGTCGCGACGCCACCAAGCTACCGCAGCAACGCTACAATATTACAGCGCCTTGCAAAACGATAGCGCATGCCCGTGAAACACGTTCAGAAATTTCTGCACCCCGACCCCCATATGAGGCAGTCTAGCGCCCACGGCACCACCGTACGCCACAATTCTCAGAGGCAGGTCCTTGACGGTGCAATCTTGTTCATCTCTACAACGCATGCCAAGGTATTGTTGCAAAAACTCAACGTTGTGATGATATTGCGCGCTTCTCATCACAACTTCTGCATGACATCGATAGAGGTGGAAGTCTATCGAGGAAGAGAGTGGCAGGGCAGCAGCGGCCCGTAGCGACTGAGCGCTTGATTACCTTACTGGGGAGCGGAGCTGGGAAATTCCTGGGCGTGTTTTTCGGCAATGCGCTATCGTTTTGCAAGGCGCTGTAATGCTGGCGCTTCTCTTGCATTGATTCCGCCACCCCCGCACCGCGCGCGCACTCACGCCGCGAAGTCGCGCTCGAAGTTCAAGCTCCAATCGCCCATAAGCCCTCCCGTCACGTCGAGATCTCCGAAAGGGAAGTCGACGTTGAACGCGCTCGGGTCCAGCGCCTCCGCCGGGTTCGTTGCCGGTGGTAGCCTCCGTGATGATAGGTTCTCACTGGGGATGAAGAGTGATCCGAGATTGGCAGCGTCGACACACTTGGTATCCGCAAAACCAACGGAGTGGTGGTCGTTTTGAGGGCCTGAGGCATCATTCCCATCAGCTTGACTTGCACCATTGGATTTAGAGTCCCGTAGATGCTATCACTATTCATGGCTTGTAGGTACTGCAGGACCAACTGGTCAGTCTACGATCGACTTTGCGGGACATGCGAAAATTCCTGATGCATCGCGAGAATCACCATTCCACCAGACTGTCCGCAGATTCATCAGGGGCTTTATCGAGGCAGGTCCTAGCTGGTCCGGTGGGATATTGTTCTGACCCGGAACATTTGACGGTTTCATGTTGCTCCCTCGACGGAACTGCGCCACAAGTGCTTGCTGTCCACCCTCGATGGTGAGCATCGCTACTAATCCTGAGCAACGATATACGCACCTTCTCCATTGTCATCGTAGATATATCCTTGTCGCCCATCCCAAGATCATGCTTTACCCTCTGCAGAATAGGCTGTGGTATCAAATTGAGTTCTACCTTCAGCATCTCCGGCGACGTGGGCGGCGGCCAAGCCAGATGAGGTAAGTTCATGCCTCGGCAACGGACTCTGATACACTGCAGGCAATCCCGGTATGTGCCGCAATCGCAGCCACAAGCACCGGTAACAGCTCCAAGCTACGCAGATGACGACGCAGGGTCAGACAGATGACGACGATATCATGGGCTTCTTGCGTACTGCTCACTCATATTCTTCCAACGTCTCTACCCAAGCAATCGTTCGTAGAGACTACAACGAGATCCGTGCACCTCGTTGTACGCTACTCATCGTCCCTCCCTAAGCATCCACTGATCCGAGAGTTGATGCCTGTGACATCACCGACGGATTCCTGTCAGACGGTGCTTACCTAGCGTCCGTACTCCGCAGGCTCAAGAATCACTCCAACGACAAGCATCCAGATCAATTCGGCCTGAGAGGACCAGAAGAACTTCTCTTATCTGTCTTCTTCTACGCGCCTGCACTGGCCATGTTGACGAGCTGGACCCGCGATGGCATGCGAGAATTATCGGTCCGGTATACACACGTTCCCGTTGTCGCCACTAAGACGCTTCCTGCAGCAACTTCGGCGTCAGCTGCGGAACCGACTTCCTCGACCTACGGGTACCTGCCTGAACCCAAACCATTCTCCGCCCCTTCAGGCGGAAGTGATCGCGACCTGGGGAAGCGTAAGCGGAAGGATGATGGGCCAGCGGTCGAGGCTGCTCATGCAAGGAATTCAGGGAAAGGTCCGTCATCATACGAGGCCCAGTGGAAACGCCTACAGAGTGCGCGATCATGAGTTACTTGGCTTCCGAAGACTCTCCCTGTGATGTTGACTTCCGACACTCCTTGCCTCATATTGACCCATTTTGCTTGAGTGGTTTATCCTGCATCGATTGAAGAGATATCAGTATTGTATCGCACAACAGAAACAACCATAACGTGCTACCACAATTCGGAAAAGATGCCGAGCGAAATCATTGAGCTGTGCACATACATACAGCACAGCACACGCGTAATCTGATATGCATGTCAACGCATGAGGCCCTCCCCAATTTCAGGCGGACTTATTGCTTCCCCGCCGCGGCGCTCCTTCCACCTGCCTGGCTCGCACTCTCGTACCGCTCATACGGGAACCTTCCCGGTACCTCCGGGCCCTTCCCATCGTGATACTCGTTCCCGGTGTTCACGTTCCCCGCCCACTCCTGTGCCCTCTTCTCAATCAACCGCGCCTGGGTCTCCATATACTGTCCGAACGCCCGCCCCTGCGTCTCGAAGAACCGGCCGACCTTCTCGAACAAGTTCGAACCCTCGAGCGGCTCCTCGATCTTGTCGAGCCCGCTGATCCCGATCGTGATTTTCCCGTGGCGTGTCCTTACTAGGCACCTATCCGAACCAGGGCCCGCGAGCTCGCCAAGCTGCTTCGCCTCGATGGCGAGAGCAGATTGGGAGGAGAAGGGCGAGGAAACGAGGACGACGGTCTCGCGGTCCTTCCCGCGGACTGTGCGCGCGCGTGCGGCGAAGTGCGGAAGGAACTGGACGGCGCCAAGGGAGCGCGCCTGCACGACGAGCGGGCCGTCGAACGTGGGGGGCAAGAGGAGGTTGATGCGCCCGTGGCGCGACTCGACTTGGAGGTCGAGCGAGCGGCTCGGCTGAACCTCGTGCTGTGACGCTCGGTCAATATGCGTCTTGTAGACCGGCGGATATAGAGGGGAACATACCACGTTGACGCTGACACGCCCATGATGGGTCGAGACGTACACTCGGGTCGGCAGCTTGTCCCCCGGGAAGGGAGTCGCCTGGCCGGCCTCCTTCGAGGAAATGGCGAGGTCGAGGTTGATGCGTCCGTGGCGCGTCTGGAATGATGCATTCACCTCGTGCTGACGCTTGTTTTTCCTGCCTCTAGTCTTGCCCCACACCGAGTCGGGCTTCCTGCGCAGGTTCCTCGACAGGTTCGCCATAGGCGATGGTAGCGCGGGATCCACGACGAATGTTCCTGTGGGAGATTGATGACATTTGTAAGTACGTGATGCCCCTAATTTTGCAGTCGTACATACCTGCGATGGCATCGTGCTTGGAGAACAACTCGGTGTGATTGACAGTCTGGGTGGTCAGGGGTTGGAAGACTGATGTTGGTCCCGAAGGGATCGCAGGCACATTCGGCGCGGGCTGCGGGACACGACTCGGGCCAGCATGTGGGGAATAAGGCGGTGGTGGAGGGAGTGCTCGTTCAGCATCCTGTTGGCACGGTCGACAGCGTTATCAGTTCCCAGACTGCATATAACTGTGCTGGTTACAGCAGTCAAAGACTTACCTGCTGCGACGACTTTTCGGAGACAGGAGAGAAAGCCTTCATGTGTTCAGGGGCGTCAGGATTGTTGACGATCATATTGGGGGCCCTTCTGTTATCTTATGTACTCAGGGGTTTCGAGGAGAGGAATGAGATTCGGGTATGTGGTGGTGAGTGGAAGACCTGTAGATCGCAGCTGTGCACCACACAGGGCATTAAGTACTGCGGGGAGAGCACATGTCCAGGTCTGGATCAGTGCTAGAAGAGGTGCTGCACAGCCGCGGAATCTACAAGACGATCGACTGCGGACTAACCGTATGCCGTGCAGATTACGCAGTGTTGTAGCCGCGCCACTGACGAGGCTCGGCATACTGGCACGTTTGCGTTCGCGTAATCGTGAACGTGGGGTTCGGACGTGTCTTTTCTGTGTGCTGCAAGTCCTCATCTTATAAACTAACCATCTCTTCCCTCGGGATGCAGCGAATGGAGTTAATCAACACGACAAGGGATGGTTGGGTGCAGAAATACAGGAGGCAATGAGCCGACTCCCGAACGGAGCCGGAGACCCAGAGGCTGTGCAAACTGACATAACCGTGGCTCATCGGAATCTAATCTGATAACTACATGCCCTGCTATCCTGCTGGCACTCCAGTAAAGTCCGATTCAGGGTGAGCAACTGGGATGATAATATATACAGTATCAGTACAGAGTGGCGATTACCCCCGTGAATAAAGATACGAATAGCGATACAACAGTCCAACTCAACGCTATATACCGCCCCACTAAACATCATCCTTCGGGATCGTCCGTCCAACTCTCGCATCACATCACCCCGCAGCTATTGCACAAGCAACTCATGAGGTCACACCGACCTGCACCCACTTCCACTGCTGTGCCTCGAGTTTCCACCCCTTCCGCATGCCGTTGACGATCTCACCGCTCAAGATGCTTATCCCGTCCCGGTCGAACTCGAAGTTCTCCTCGCCTAGATCCCTGTGCAAGATCTGTATGGGACCGTTTCCGTCGTCCGTCGACTCGTCGCTAGACGGCGCACGCGCGATGCTCTCCAACTGGGGCAGAGGCGAAGCGGTGGACAACGACATCTTCACGGCTGCGGAGCCAGACCCGGCAGCGGTCGCAGCAGGAACGATAGCCTTCTCGGAGTTGACAATGGCACTGTGCTGCGCAGCTCCGTTCGCCGTCACGCCCACACCATTTGCATGTGGACGGTCGTCTGCCCCAGGCGCATGCTTGTCGGTAGCGTTGTGACCATGCGCAGCCTCCTCTGTCGCCCCCATCACCTTCGCTGCCGCAGACTTTGACAGCTTCCCCAGCGTGCCGCCCGCGTTAGTGAGGAGCGCGATCACGTATCGCCGACCGCTACCGGAGGCAGCCTCAGTGGCGTTCTCCTTGTCACTTTCGAGCTCGCCAGACGGGATTTGGCCTCGTTGAGAGATGAGGAAGCTCTCCCAGAGCGTCTCGACGACGACGGCGCGCTGCTGCTGAACGAGATCGTCGTCACTGCTCTCGGGAGCCGGGGAAGCAGAGGGAGCGTTGTCCGCGATGGCACCGAGTTTCCTGCGTTTCGCTGGGCGGCCGTCGGGCGACGATGACTGAGGAAAGAGGATCGTCCTCAGTGCATCTGGGTGGTACTTGAATCTAGGAGAGAACAAGATTGTTAAGTGCACGTTCAAAGAACAACATCGCCGAATCAAGATCAACATACCCAATCTCAGGCCAGCTCGAGTCGGTGCCGAAGACCATAACGCGCGTGGCACTGAGCTCGTCGTCGTCCTCATTCAACCGCGTCTGCACCGCACTCTCGTCACCCGCGAAGGTACCGTTGAGCAGTCGTCTCCGCTTGCGACTTGAGCGGGGCGCACACCCAAGCGCACTGCGCCGCTCTGCGTACTCCAACATGCGCTGTGAGCGATTCCGCAGCCCGAACGAGTGTGCCGTACCAGGCTAACAGCACAATTCCTCAGTCGTCACAGAACACGAGAGTGTTATTGGAACAACTCACCAGGACGAACTCAGCGTTCAGGATCTCCATGCCCGCGCCATCGTGCCCGTTCCCCCAGCCCGAGCTCAACAGCTCCCTCCCGTCGTCCTCCGCCCCCAAGTCCTCCACGACCTCCCCTCGCCCCCTCGCGTGCAGCGCGTTCCCAAACCCGCCAATATACCTCGCCTCCCTTGTCAGGCGCACCTCTATCCTCAGATCGTTCCCCTCCCTCCGCGCCTTCCGCGCCTGGCTCCACGACACCCACCCCGCATGCAGCGCACACAAAAACAGGTCCGAGTCGTCCGTGTACACTCTCCGGCCCTCGCGCACCTCGTCCGGCCACGGCCGCCCATACTGCGCGTGCGTCCCGGAGAACTGCGCGCACAGCTGCCGCTGCGCACCAGAGAGCGGCGGGACGGCGGGGATGAGCGCGCCGCCCCAGATGCGCGGCCGTACGGGACGCGTGAGCGGAATGAAGCGCGCGGGGAGGCAGACCGTCGCGCGCACGTCGAGCGGATCGGATGGTGCCCCCGAAGCGGTATATGGAGGGGGGAAGTCGAGGAAGGGGAAGGGCGTGCGTGGGTAGACGAACGTGCCCAGGTTCTTGATTGGGAGGACGAGAGTCGTGGGGGGCGAGCCGGACCGCGGGAGCATGAACGCGGGTGGCGCCGAATGTGAGTGCATCAAGGGAGGAGACGGGCGGCGGGACTGCATACCCATTGGGCCGGGGCCGTACATGTCTTGTAGGTGATGCTGGCGCAGATGGGGTGTGCCCATTGGGTGCTGAGCTTGCGGATGGGGAAGCATCTGCTGAGAACGAGGCGGGACGCCCATCTGGATCTGACCCGGTCCGCCTTTGGAAGGAATAAACCTGAACTCGCGCTCCCGCTCGTGTGGATACTGGGGCGGAATATCTGGGAGAAGAGGCGTAGCACCCATAGGACCTGGTTTGCCACCATGCTTTGGATGGACCTGCTGCACCTCGGGCCCGAAAGGAGTCCCCATCGCTGAATGCGGATGTGGATGGGGTTGGTGGTGCGGATGTTGCAAACCGCCATACGGAGGACCTTGGGCTTCCCGCGCGCGTGCAGCGCGAAGAACCTCTTCCTGCACGCGCTGAAGCCGCTCTTGTTCCAGCAGCTCGTATTGCGACTCGTGTCGGGCGGCCATCTCGCGCTCACGCGCCCGATGCTGATGTTCCCTCTCCCTCTTCTCCAGCTCCCTCTGTTCGCGTTCCCTCTGCTCAAGCTCCGCACGCTCCATCTTCTCGCGCTCGCGCTGCTCCTTCTCTCTAGCACTCACCCGCGGTTTGCGCTGCGGTGGCTCCGCACGCTCGACTCCGTCCATTGCTGCCGCCTTCGCCCGCTCCCGCTCTTCCCGTTCCTTCGCGCTCGCTCGTGACTTGCTTGGCCGCGCGGACGGGCGCGGTTCGCGGTCCGGCCTCGGCTCCCTGGCCTCCCACTCGAGCTCCCGGGGCTGCATCTCCTCCATCCTCCTCCGCTCCTGCATTTCCCGCTCCACCATCAACCGTTCTTCCTCGGGCATCTGCGCCGGTACGAACCTGGGCCACACTTGGCCCTGCGGCGGACCCTGAGACGTCGGGGGGCCCATCACGCCCATGCGAGCCCCTCCCGGAGGCGGATGGTGATTATGCTCATGTTGCGATGACAGAGGCGGCTGGCCGTGGGACTGGAGGCGCATATCTGGATGTCCGGGGCCTTGTTGCGATTGCTGCTGTTGCTGCTGCTGTTGCTGCATCCTCTTCTGCTGCTTCTGCCACTCCCGCTCGCGCTCGCGCTCCTCGAGCTCTGCCAGCGACGGCCCAGGACCGAGCCCAAGCCCCCGAGGAGTCACGCCCACGCCCATGAGCTCGTGAACGTGCCGCCGGTAGCCCTCCTGCCGCTCCCTCTCGAGCTGCTGCTCCCTGTCCGCAAGCTCCCTCTGCCTCTGGTGCTCCCTCATCTCTCGCTCCTGCATCTCCCGCTCTCGCATCTCCCGTTCCCGCTCCATCTGGATCTGCGCATCCCGCTCCCGCTCTCTTGCCTGGAGCTCGCGCTGGTGACGCTCCTGCCTTTCGCGCTCCTTTATCGCCTGCCTCTCCCGCTCCTTCTGCTCCTTCTCCCTCTCCTTTTCCCGTTCTCGGAGCTCCCGCTCCCTCCTGACCGCGCCGGGCGAGTCCTGAATAGTGCTCCCGCTGCCGCTGCCCCGCCTCTGTCTCTCGTCTCTGTCCGAACTCCGATCCATCCCGCGTGGCAGTCTCGCGTCTCGGCCTCTCTCCCTCTCGCGCTCGATATCGATAGCATCGGCCTTCTCCGGGGAGAGCCCTACAGCTGGAGGAGGGCGGTACCCCCCAAGGAACATGCCCGCGGAGCCTGGAGGAGGAGGCGGCCCAGGGCCAATGGGTGTCGGAGGCATTGAAGAAAGCGAGGACCCCGGAGCCCCAGGGAGACCAGCGGGGCCCACAGAGGCGCCAGTGAGTCCGCGGGGTCTTCCTTGCATCGTCATCGCGGGACCCGGACCGCCGTCCCGCTCTACCCCGCGTTCCCGTTGCTCGCGCTCGACGGCGCCACGTTCCCGGTCGCGTTCGCGGGCGTCGCGCTCACGGATCCCCTCGCGGTCGCGGTCTCGATCGTCGTAGGGCGCCGGGCGCTGCAGGCTTGCCATCACCGGCGACGCGTTGCTCGACAACGCACCTTGTCCCTGGCCGGGTCCTAGAGGCGCCTGGGTGCTGCTCGTGCTTCCCCCACGCGTGCGGTGTCTGTCATCTCGATGGTGACTGTGGTGGGAATGCGCCTGCAAGTGTGGGGATGCCCCGTGGCCGAGCGAGCCGGGGTACATCGGAGGGGGAGGCTCACTGATGCGCAGGCTCATCCCGCCTGGGGGAGGCCCTGGGGGCGCGTGCGCCGGGGGTCCGCTGGGAGGAACACCAGGGCCTACGGCGGTTGGGAAGAGGGGGATACTACCTTGGCCGGGCCCGTGGCTGGAATGGTGACTGTGAGGTGGGGAAGCGTGGATGGACCGGGAAGACGGGGGGCCAATGTACGTGGCCGAGGGGGTGTTTGGGTGGGAGAGCGCATGATGGTGTGATGGATAAGAATGAGGATGGTGATGGTGCTGGGGCTTCGGAGGGAGACTAGGCGTCGTACGGTGTTCGAGGGTGAACGGCTGTACTTGTACGGACGAGCTTGGATGCCCTGTAGAAGCAGATGCCATATGTCAGTGCTCAGTTACGCACGAGCCGCGTCGATCTCCCAAGTAGACACGACGCCGCCATTGAAAGAAGTTCAGAATACGGCCGCTGAAGAAGCTCTAGGTGCGCTCCGCAGGGCACGTCCGAGCCGGCTGTGATTCGGCACCAGAAGCCCTGGCCGAGTCACCGAACATGCGCGCGGACGACATCCATGACAGAACTCTAGAAACTGTCATGTGCGCGGTTCTATTACCCACGGATTCGCAGCTCGCGAGGATACCGCCACTCGCGCCGCAATCAATGATTCATCGCAAAATGTGTGCAACGCCCTTCGCGAGCAAAGCCTGGTCAAAGGAGACTTGTAGCGAAAGCATCTTGTCGACATCATGACGAATAAAGTAAACGAACTAGCCGCCGGCCCGAGGGCACCTCGGCGAGCGACAAGCTCTGCTTCACGACCAGAAAGGCCCGAGTGAAAGCTAGAGCAAGCGCGGAACCAGCCACGAAGGAGAAGGCGGGGAGCCGAACAAGGTCCCCAGCCCAACCAAGAGGAGACAAGACCGAAGCAAGACAAGGAACAATGATTCGTTCACACTCACCCGGCGACGGGCCCAAGCGATCATGCGGGTGGGGTAGCCCCTCCTGCCTCCTCGATGCGTGTCCTCCGACGTCGTACATGGGATCCGAGAGAAGACTCGACGGCGGCGGCAGTTGGTGGCGTTGCGACGAGTGTGCCGGGAAGTCCGCGCCCGCAGAAGGCGCCCTGTACTGTGGGGCATGGCGTGGAGGGCTCGGCGGGCGCGATGTGTGATGAGGCGGGGGGGAGCGACGATAGGCTGGGGGGTGTTGGACATGGCCATGCGAGGGGTGTTGGAGGTCTTGCGGAGCCCGCTCACGCTCACGTAGTTGGTCGCGAGGTCGGTCGAGGGGCGGGGAGTGATGAGGTGGACGCTGAGATGGTTGCTGCTGCTGCAACTGCTGTGCGTGTGCATCGGGTGGCGGGTCCTGGCGAGACTGTCGCCTGCGGAGGTCGTCTGAGGGCGAGTCGTGGAGAAGGGAGGCGAGGTCCATGGTGGGAGGTGGGGGAAGGGAAGAGGGCGACGGAAGGTGAGAAATTGGCAGACGTCCATTGAAAACGCGGTCGCTGATCACAGGGGTAATCGAGATCGTTATCTCGCAACACCTCTTACCTCATAAGCGTCTTCCTTATTTCCCTCGTCGCGTGGCAATCCAACTCCCTCCCCAGTCCCTCGCTCGCTGCTCATACCATCATATTCAGGTATGCTGCACACGGAGAGCGATATTTCGTTCTCTCTACCTACGTCGACCCGCGAACTCTTGAGCTGCAGCCCCACATCACATCCCGGCTGCAGTGAGATCGGGGCGGGGAGAGGTGGCTGAAGGGCGACTTCGATCATTTTACACGCGTGGATCTGAGATCCATCCTTCCGGATTTAGCCGCCTGCCTTGACCCCGTTCTGCGCCACAGAGATCCAATCACACATTTCCAGCCGCCGCGGGCCTCGTGCCGTCCACTTCCGTCGTCCTCCGTGCAACCCCAGGGGCCCGCAGTTATATTCACCGCCAGCAAGGCTTGTTCACAGGAACGGTACGTTGAGGGGTTACAAAGGCTTTGTGTGATGTCATGCTCACGTTTTCCGCGGACAATGACTCTTAAGACCGCCCAAGGCATGTGCTTTCCCTGTAACCGTGCGGCGTGTAAGACAAGCTCAAGCTTCCCTACACCCCATCATCCGGATAGCCCTGTCATAGCCCGCGTTCAGAAGCGCATATCCTCCTTGGCTCAGCCACCCGCGGAGGGAGTGTGGCGAACGGGTCATAGGGCAGCGGCGAAATGCGCGCACGCGGTAGTCATCCTGCTATAGCAACATGGATGCTCGTGCCCGCGGCAAGGGAGAGTTCGATGCCGAGGACGGGCATTGCGTTTGTGAACCGAGGAGAGGTAGATTGGAGACCTGCCTCGAGCTGATCATCCAGATATCTCCTTCACCAGCTAATCAGGGATGAACGGCCTCGGATAGACCTAGCTGCATTCTGCACGGCGTTGCCATGTGTGGCACTCACATTCTTGAAGCTTCTCTAGCGACGACTGTGGGCGCCTAACATAGACCTAGTGCACATAAACCACGATTACTTGTAGCAAGTGTACAGCACATGTAGCTGTACATATGAAGGCATGAAGAAGCATGACGGTCAGAGGCAAGCAGGATGCTTGTAGAGAAGCGCCCGCCCGTCCTCAGTATGTCCGGACCTCGATGTCCGAGCCTACTGTCAGCCTTAAATTTGTCACCAAGAGCGCACACGTCTTTCACGTCAATACCCATCGCTGCGACCCTGCACAGGCACGCGGTTCAATGCAGATCCCAAAGAAGAACGTGCTTGAGACACTTCTTCAGACCCGATTGCAAGGTGGGGGGGGGAATAGATATACAGGATTGTAACTACTTCAACGTTCTCGTCAAAAAGGAGGCTCAAGGGCACTAAATAGCTTGACTATCGTAACAGTCGCAGGGAAATATTCGATCCAGCAGTGTTGTAAAACATATCATCGACGTGGGGCGGAAGCATCTGCAGCCTCCGAGGCGTAGAGGTACTTGCCGCCCTCATCGTCCGAAGTCCTCGAGTCGACTCATGTATGGGCGGCGAGATGAGGACTTACAAGACGTAGACCCCTCCGCATTTGGTGGGCGATCTAATCGGTTGGGATATGCGCGTTGATCTCCTCGAGGAGCTCCTCGGCAATCTTCGCGTTCGATACCTAGACCACGCGATAGTCAGAATCAAGCACGCGATACCATTCGCATCACATAATGAGACTCACCCTGAGGTTGTAGTGCGTCGTAACGTTGTGTTCGATCACACTAAACCGGATGTACCGAGGATCCTGAGCAGCGAAGCACCGCATGCCCTTGAACAACGTCGCGTTCAGCAGCACCGTGTAGACTGCCTCCTTCCGCATGACTGCCCAACGCGTCAGTCCCGATTCGACAAACTACAAAAGCAAAGAAGGAACGTACTGAGCCGCGCCCCACCCCCATCCTCAGTCCTCACGTTCAACCTCAACATCCCCGTGCCCCGCTCCTTCCACTGGTTCTGCTCGCTCAGCGCGAACAGCTTCCCGCGCACTTGGTATACTGTGTCCTCATCTTCCTCTCCAGTATGCACTGCACATCCTGTCAGTCACCCACCCCACACAAGAACGGCCAACGGAACCAGATACGCACCCTCCTGCTCAGTCAGGTTCAGCTTCTTCTGTTCCTCCTCTTCCTCACCCTCGTCCTCCCTGTCTTTCTCTGCCCTCAGCCGCTCCCCGAAGCTCACCACTTTCTCCTTCCTGCCGGCCTTGCCCTCCTTCCCGCTCTCGCTATCCTCTCCAGAACCTGATTCGCTACCCGCATCTAGCACGCTGCCGCCCGCCTTGGACCCCGACGCCCCAAAAACGCCCGCAGAGCTCGACGTAGACGCGTCGCCGAACGCCGGGGGACGCCTGGGCGTGGGGGCAGCGAAGCCCTGTGCGCCCCCGACGGCGTACGCGGAGAACGCGTTGACAGACCGCACGGGGGTGCCGTGTCGCGAGGGCGAGCGGCTCCGGAGCACGCTGGAGCTGGTGGATGGGGGAGGGGACTTGGGCCGCTTCGCCGCACTAGCAAAGGGTGATGTCGCAGACGCGAACGCCTCAAATCCGGTCCGCTTGTGTGCTTGTGGGGCGGACGCCTCGGGAGTGGACGAGCTATTGGCGGCGTCCTTCGATGGAGCGGACGAGCCGAAAGGGGAGGGGGAGGATGCGAAAGAGGAGAACGGGGAGTTCGCCGTGCTAGACGAGAACGCGTTCGCAGAGCTGTCACTGCCGCTTGCAGCCGCCCAAGGAGAGGTTGGTTGCTTTGCACCGAAGACGCGGGGTCCCGTGACTTTTGCGAACGGAGAACTCGTGGATGCATAAGCAGCAAATCCGCCCTACGACGTGTAGCCACGTTGAGACGAGTAATATAGATCAAGTACAGAGTAACTCACAAGTTTAGGAGTAGCGTCCTTCGGTGGCGTCGCCTCCTTCTTCTCCGCTTGCTTCTCGTCCTCCTCGGGCGGAGGCGTCGGTCGCTTCCTCTCCCTCGTGTTGGGGTCCACTTCGGGGTCATCTCGGGGACGCTTCGTTGCTCCAACAACCGCGACGCCGTTGCGCCCCGGGATCTCCCCGGGGACCAAAGCCTCGCTCACCGTCCGGTCGCCAAGCTTGCGCTTTAGGACCCCCTTCTCCTGGTCAGAGTCGGAGCCACGTCGGTGCGAGGAAGGCAATCGAGGAGCATCCGAGACCTTTTCGGGCACAGTCTTCTCGGACTCGGACGGGGAGGTCGGCTCGTTCGAGGGCTCAGGCGCTCCCGGGATATGAGAGTCGGCCGGGTGCTCCGCACCAGCGGCTGCACCCGTGTCCTCTTCGCCGGCGGCGTCGTCGAGGATCGGTGGGTTCTCCCCACGCATAAGCGGAGGGACGATCACCTCGTCCTGACTGTCCACTCCCTGAGTTGTGTCTCCGGTTGCTTGAGTCTGCTCTGTCTCGGCAGGCGCTTGGGCATCAGCGACGCCCTCCATCGTGCTCTCCCGATCTGTTCCCCCCGAGACATCCTGCCCATTCTCGGGTCGAGCTTCCGTCGAGCCGCTCTTCTTCATATTTTGCCATGTGATATCTTCCACACCCTGACTTATTTGCCGTACCTTGGTCTCATGTGGTGGAGAACCATTCAGCTTCGCGTCGTCTTCCGCCTGTTCTTGTGGCGCTTCGAGGACGCCGTCACTGGTGCGATTCTTCTTTGCAGGAGTACGACGATCTTTGCTGTCCGACTTCTCGGAGTCAATTTCCTAGAACACGCGTTAGCGCCTAGTATAGAGAAGCAGGAAGGAGAAGGAGGAAGAGCGAAGGAGTCGCACGAGTATCACGCCAGGCCTGGATGAAGGCGGCGGCCTCTATACATGTCAGGTCGTAGACGGCGATCACTATGTCATGTATAGTTTGGTGCAATGTCTCGAATGATGCCAGGACCGATAAACAACGTGTGGCAAGATAGCGCGCCTGGGCAGAGGGTAACCACACAAGAATAGCGGGACGATCCAGGAGAGCTGCACGAGCTATCATGATGGCACAGACCAACGTGCACAATGACGGCGAACATCGCAGGACGAAAAGAGGAATAACGGCAGAGGCGTAGCGAGATGGAAAGCCTAAATGAGTCGATCGAGAGACGTACCAGCGTGGTAGTCTGAGGTGTCGCCGGTTCCAATGAGACCTCCCGTTCCCGTTTCCTCGAGCTGCTCTTCACGTCTAACCCTGAACATGCTACGCTCGTTGCCCAGCCAATGTCAAGAGGGGGAAGATGCACACACCATTGACTTCCTCCGGAGGCGTCGATAAACCGGCCGACTGTGGTTCGTCGACGATGACATGATTGTTCTTGGTTTGTGGCGGAAGCGCCGTGGCTTCGCGCGACTCGTCGTGCGCGGTCATTGTGAGTGTTGTCGAGCAAGCTAGTGGATGCGACGACGAGGGTACAGAGAAGGTGTGCGGGGGCGTGGGGTTCTTGTTCCAAGTCGCTCAGGGCCCGAAGCAAGCTCCCAAGCCACCGGCGTTTGGCGGCGCATACGACGAGATAAGATCAAACAGGATGCCGCGCCGTTTTCGGGGTTCGAACCTCCTCTTATCTTGCCGTTGTCCGCGGACGTCGTCGCGACGCTGCTCTATTGTCCCGATAATTTCTATGCCTCCGACCACAACAACCCTCTCTATGTAACTGCTAGCGACTGAAAGGTCTAGCACGGCGGAGACGAAGTTCCATATCAATATGTAGTGCAAGGTTTACGGCAGCACGTTCATACAGCTTGCCGACGTCTGTGCCGGTGGCAGCGCGTGCCGAAATACCGAGCACCCCATTTGCCTCGAGTCCTGGTCCACTGGTGGTCCACTCTTGTGTGCGCATCAGCAAATAAGTGAAACGAATGGTAAGTGATGTCCAGATTCCGCCTTTCAGACCAGATTGGCAAGGGATGGCAAAGGGATGGCGAATGGTACGACCCAATCGCCAGTTATGGTCCACAATGGCCAGACCTCACAGGGCATTCGGACGGCAGCTACCATACTGTAGGGGAAGTAAGGCCGATGATGTACATTATTGACTGAGCCAATGAGCACACATGGTCTGTAGCTGGTGCAAATTCTGCCATGAATGCCCAAGCTCACGCTGCGAAACGGTCCTTCGTCATGTTCCAAAACTCGCCGACAAATCATCACACAATTCGAGTTTGCATTTTCAATAATCAATCATAATTGGACGTGAGCTGCTACACTTGGGAGAAGGGAGACATTGAGTTAAATAGTTTACATACACCTGTTGTGCGCGAGAAAAGGCGTGGTTAGGGTTAGTAGGGCTAGTCGCTGACTAGGCAGGAGCAAGGGTGATCCCGAGACACAAAGTGACAAGTACACGACAATGTCTATGCGATAACACGAAAGGTAAGTGAGGCGAAAAGGCTTACCAAAAGCGCAGGAGCAAGAACGAATCTTGTATGCACACATCGTACATACCTATGGGGTGTTTCTGAGATGTCAAAGCCAGGAGCGTGGAACATAGACATAAGTAGCTACGGGCTTCTCGGGACGACTTACAAACATCAGAACCCAAGGGGAATGTTGTAGGAATGGCATGTTGTAGCGGGCGATGAAGGAGGTATGCAGACGCGGCGTCGAAAGCTGGGGGGGTTTTGCAAGTAACGGTTCAGGGCAGGGCTGGCAGGATGACACTCCGTTGATTGAGTTGCAAACCTAGAATACGCGTCATCGAGGAGCAAAATTGGGTGCGGATCGTGTAAGGAACGTCACCACACCCGGCAGACACTCACACTGGCTGCGCTCCAGCACATCAGGCATCTGGTCGGTTTTGCTGTCGTCCACAGCGAAAACACCATCTGACAGACTGCAACACTGCTGAGTTGCCCCGCACTCACCCGCTCTACCTGCATTGGCACTTCGGCCCCGCAAGTTGAACCTGACCTGCCGCTGCACTGGCATGGCCGCCGCTCATGACTGCAGTGGCGGACGCGTCAATGAGGAGGCGGAGAGGGTGGGGGCAGAGAGGAAGATGGAGGAGGACGAGGAGCGCGCTCGGGAGAGGGAGAAGGAGATCGTGGAGATGCCAGTAAGAGGCGGCTGTGGTACAGCGGAGCGCTTTGCGTGGTATCGATGTATCCGCACTTTCTCTAATGACGATTGAGTGGTATGAATTGATAGCACAAGATTTATACCTACTTATCGTTGCCGGGATCCACATGCACAGATGTTCCATGGCCGGAGTCCGTCGGACGAGATGGGAGTTGGCCAGAATGAGTAGGCGCTTGCGGTTCCCGGAAAGGGTAGGCCAGTTTCGGGCGCCGTGGCCATGCAATACCATTTTTTGCATAATTTGCTGATGCGTACTGTGGCTGCATATGGTGCAATTCTTCACTTACCACCCTCCAGGGACCACGAAGTAGGGGCCCCGGAGGCATTCATTCTCTTCAGACTTATGCGGCTCGATCGGGGCTTGGAGAACTTCCTTGCGCCATATGCGTTCTAATACATATGAAGGTTTCAGCATCGTGACGTCTGTCGCTCGGCGTTATATAGATGGTGCGCTTCCCGCCTGCTACCCCATGCCCCGACGGCACCATGCTGATACGGTGCTCCAGATCACCGGGGCTCTCTGGCTATCCGCAGGGAAAACCAGTAACTAGTGTCGAACGCGCTCCCTGCGTACGGTTAGTGACATCGCCGAGCATCAAACACTAAAGGCTCGTGCACTGCCACGTCGCCGATTGTTCTGCTACTATGCCTCCGGCGTACTTAGATGATGGCGATGCATTGCCGTTACGGAGCGTTGTCGGTCGAAAATAGTGCTGAGGCCATACTCCTCCAAGGGCATCTCTCGACAAAACCGATTCAATTGAGACTCGGTGAAGATCGCAAGTACGAGGGTTTGCCCACCGTTCAACGGTCTGTGGGTATAGCTAAGTTTCTGTCGTAACGTGACCCATCTCCAACGCGGAGGTGCGGTCACAGGGGGATTAGCTAGCGCTCTACTGGAGGCACGTATGCTGCTTTGATGATTCCTCTATGAGCGATCCATCATAGACACGACCTCGACGAACGACTTCCACTACTTTCAATCCCTTGATCGCAGCGCTCTCTTTACGGTTTAAGATGATGTATGCAGCTGCCGGGCATAACTGTATGGATACAGCCCAAGAATCCGTATTTCACTCTTCACAGAACTTGTCCACTAGCCCACTTGTTTCGATCCAGCATATGCAAACCATCGACGGGATAGCCCTCATCTCAAAGGAATACTCCATCACAGGTAAGTTGACCAAACTTTCCATCGCACAATTCCTCGTGTTACGCGAGCAACAAGGTGTTTAGGTCATCAACCCCCTTATGCCGACGACCATCTACCTGAACGGGTTGCTTTCGGAAAGAAGAGCGTAAGGCTTGCCATGCCTAGCGGGAGCACGCGCACGAAGCCGGACGGTCTCAGCCTGGGGGGTAGGCTGGAGCTGGAATTGGGACTCAAACTTATAGGGGCACAAGGCAGTCAGCGCGGCGTTGCGCTCGGGCAGTGTCTCCCTTAACCTTCTTGTCGCTTGTGCGGCGGAAGCCCTGCATGGCCACTGCGACCCATATCGTGTTAAGCAGGCATGCGGATATCGTCCTGGAGGTAGCGTGTGTGGGCTCCCCACGTCAAGCTCAATATTTGTATCGAACATCGATCATTGCTGACTCGCACTCAGGTCGAGATCCAACCCGACCGGATAATGAAGGCACCCGGACAGGTGACGTCCTCGTTTTCCTCCTACCTCCGTACTCTGGCATGGCGGCCATTCACACACGCTGTAACCTCGACAGACGGTACTTTCAGTTACGCTTCCACCTCGCGCAACGCGCGAGCCCACAGCACACCAGGGAGCGCGAAATCGTCCGGCTTTCATCACCGCCTCTGTGAAAGAGCTCTGCGTCTATAATAGCCAATTCCATGTCTCCGGTGCGTATGAGCAAAGCCAAGTCGTCATAAGCACGCACACGGCATACTGCGGTCGGGTTCTGTAGCGCGGACGAGGCGAGCGCAGATGCGTTGCCGCATGAGGAGGAGAGCATGCTTCAACGTCTGGGAACGGCACTCTAGGTTGGTGCGGACTGGTAGCTCAGTGTGGTACATGCTTGACCCATCCGTGAGCAGGCCAACCACCACATGCTCGCTGCGCGTTCATTCAGTGCCAGGGACAGAGCGGGCGAGTTTGTATCCACTTCTTGTTCAGCAACGTGAAAAACCTTCTACTTATGCTTCTGTCTGACACCGCCAGGAAGACTCCCTCCATCATCCCCAGGAAGTCGTGCTTTGACTCGTTATTTTTTCAGGGAAGATACACCGTTTGAGGCAAGGGCTTCCCCGGATCCGAACTGATCGAACACTGACATATACCTACGACACGGAGCCCCGCAGATCAACTCAGTCTCATGTACGGAGATTGAATGGCTTTTCACCGCAATATAGTAGCACTGGCACTGAAGGCTAGGCATACGTATTTCGGCTCAATCATTCACTCAATATGGTATCATTAATGCCGTAGGTTCCCGTAATATCGTAGGGACCGTACAGCGTTCTGACATAGTAGTATGGTAGGCTTAGCTTGCGTGATTAGCATGCTCGCTTCATTCAAGGTACTCCCGACAACGTTTCCTGAGAATATGATATTGCACGCTTGTCAAAACGGGTCAGTGTCCAACGCCATACCGACTATATAAGCCCAAGGCCCCACTAATATGACCTCCCAGCTTCTCTAGTGATCCCTCTGTCTACTCTCTTGCAAGATCCGCTGGTGTTCATTGTCATAGGTCACGCCATATCGGAGCGATCGCCACCACAGGCAGGGGACTTGATTTTGCGGCTATACCTCTGCCGAGACGCATTGCACGGCTGGTACCCCATAAACCACAATTGCGAGATCCAGGCCAATACACCGCAAGACATTCACATTGGGGTATTGTGAGCATTTCAGCCCTATTATCAGCCCTATTATCGACAAACAGTTTCACTCATCAGCTCATAGCAGAAGCTGAGGGGATGGAGAACGCGATGATTGCATTGGCGCAAATGCCAGCGGCTGAACACAGAGAAGTTCTCGAACAGGCAGTGAGTATATCTGAATGAGTATCACACCCTCCAGCTCACGTGTCGCAAGGATGCGCCCGAAGACCCGGATACGCCCCTCACCAAGTCGGTCAGTGTTTGACATCCTTCTGCGGACTCTTGATAATCGTTCTGAATGAATCAAAAGAAAGCATACCAGATGCTCCAAGAGCAGATAGACCTCGTGTCCACCGAAGATACGAGAATACAGGCATGGCGCGACGCGGCCAACGTAGTCAAAGTTTACAATGACGAGCTTGTCGATCAATGGAACAAGGAGATTGATGGGCTGCTGACATTTGTGAGTGATGGTTTCCATGTATGAAGGGCCATGAGCGAGGACTTAGCGAGACCCAATCAGGCTGGACTATTTTCGGCGGTCCTCACCGCGTTCAACGTCTTGGCGTACCCACTGCTCCTGCCCCTACCAACCGACCAGACCACGGCCATTCTTTTGCAGATCTCCGCACAGCTTTCGAGTTTCTCCGTAAACCCATCTTTCGTGAACTCCACACGGCCTGCTTTCGACTCGCTGCCACCTCCACCGCCTTTCCAAGCCCCTCGGTATGCTGTGTGGCTAAACTCACTTTGGTTTATCAGCATCGTCTTGAGTCTTGCTTCCGCGACGATCGGTATCATCGTGAAACAATGGCTAAAGGAGCATGGCTCTGGACTATATGCCATTGCTGAGGAGATCATCCGGCGGAGGCAAGATCGGTTGAATAACCTGAACTTGTGGCATGTCACGGCAATTGTAGCGGTGCTTCCCGTTCTCCTCCTGGCGGCGTTGATCTTTTTTCTCGTCGGCATGGTCGTGTTCCTATACAACACCAATATCACCGTTGCAACTGTGGTGGTCGTACCCACTGCAGCACTGTTTGCTTTTCTGGCCGGCACTACTCTTCTTCCCATCTTGTTCAGCAGCTGCTGCTATCACTCGCCGCAAGCCCGGGCTGCGAGCTACGTCTGGAAATGGACCCGACCCATCGTCCTACCAATACCGCTATGGTCCCTCGTTATCTCCTTGGGACTCGTCTTCGTGGGACCCATTTTCGCCTACATGACACTATCCCCCCAACGAAAGGCAGCCATCAAAGCCTGCTTTCGCGCCCTCCGTGACCGCTACGCGTCGTTCCGTTCGGCCCTTACCCAGATGGCTGAACGACTCGCACAATGGTGGTCCCGTTGGATGGCTCCGACAATGAGCCTTCGGAAGTGGGAGTGGAGAGGCGAGGAGTCAGTCAGGACCACTGAAAACCCGGCCACCTTCGATGGAGACATGCTCTCGGAGGCGTACACCATCACCCTCAATAGTTGGGACCTCGAGCGAACAAAGCCGTTTATGTACGATTTGACACGTGCCCCGGAGGTCGCTGCGAGGTACATGCTGAAGATCGAGAAGACGTTGAAAGAACGATGGGATCTCACATCTCTCCCAGACGACATCAGACACCGATACACCGATCTTGTCGCGTACATCGCAAAGGTAGCTGTGCTGAGATCACCAGATTCGGTCCTCATGCAGGCCCATAGCGATCTGCTTGGTTCGTCCGTCTTGCGACTCCGGAACGTGGGGCAGATACTACATGAAGAGTTTACCTCGAACATCAGTAAGTCCACATCAAACCACGCGCCTTCGATTGACACTGAAGTTCATACAGTAGCTAGAGTGGCGGTAGAGAACACCGAAAAGGCTAGGGCGGAGTACGACAAAGGCGAGCTTCCGAGTCTATCGGCTTTGGGATGGTACATGCGCACAATCGCGACTTGTATCAGCTGTGTCGCGCTCATGAGCGACTGTGCATATTCGACCCTCCAAAAGGAGCAGAGAGTGGATATCCGCGGCGCCATACGAAAGTTCCAGGAGTTCCTCAATTCCGACGAGCCGGCTCGTTGGAAAACCTCTTGGAAGGACCCTTCTAAAGCCAAGTCCGCAGGAGCGTCTTATCGTCTACTAGAAGAGGCTGTGACCTGGTGCAAGACGAAGTCCGGGGAGGAATGGGGGTCCGAGGCCAATTTGAAGCCCCAGGACAGACCGGTCTCCGTGGAGGTGTATAGAGATCTGGTCCCAGTCAATTTTGCCGCCGACCTGAGAAAGCTATCCCGTACTTTCTGGGTCGTACCTGCACGGACTGATCCTGTCTTAGCTTCGCTGTTGTAGACCTATCTCGCATGACGTGTCGACTATGTGAGTTGGACCATTCAGCTACGCTCGATAGGGGTTCTAAAAAGGGTTTGCTTAGTTGTATGACATCGTTATATGACATGTTACGCTGCTTCCTGGTTTCGACGTATGTTATACAGGTTGATGTTGGGCTCGGACTCTCTCTAGTATTTATGTGCGTGGTCTGTCGAGATATGAGAACCGACTGTGATAGCTCATCGTCAAATAGACCCGACGTAGCAAGGTCTAAACTGATATGAGTGAATCTTGGGCGTTGGAAGAGGTAAGAGTTTGCCAACACTGAAGATGACGCGGGCGTCGTTTCAAGGGACCGCCGGTCCGGAATCTCCAGCTCTATGGCACACCACAACCGCCCGTGCGTACTCTCACCTTCCTCCCCTCCCCCATGGCATCCTTCAAGCGAGCCCGCTCTCCTCAGAACACCGACCTGTCCCCATCGCCCTCGCCGACCAACTCGCCGACGCCCAAACTCGCCCGGGCGAGCGCGACACCGCCACTAGCCGGGCAGCCATCGACATCGACATCGGCCGCGAGCCACAGCGGCATCCTCTGCACGCTACCCCCGACATGCAACCCCCCGAACCGGCCGACGGCGCTCGCTGGGACACACGAACTCGAGTCGCACTATGCGATGTACCACGCGCATGTGTGCGAGCAGAAGGGGTGCGGGTGCGTGTTCCCCGATGCGTGGCTGCTGGAGTTGGTGAGTGGCATATTCTCTTTGTTCTGAGTCTGGTCTCCTTCCACGCGCCGTGCGCGATGTGATAGAGGGAGCCGTTCTGCTCGTGAGGATCTGCTGGGAGCCCTTTGAGCTGACCGTTGGTCGTGTGCTACCGCAGCACCAAACAGAGTGCCATGACCCGCTTGCTGCGGTACGCCAGGAACGCGGGGAGAAGATCGTGCGTGGTTCGTCTCTTTTTCAACGTTCTGATCGAAACTGAAAAGGGTTCTTTGTAGTTTGCGTGCCATCTGGCGACGTGCACGCGCAAGTTCTCGACACCCAAAACACGCAGACTGCACCTCATACAAGCACACGGCTATCCCAAGGAGTACTTCTTCGCCGTCACGAACAAGGGTGTCGGTGGTCTTCTCAAGAAGTGGGGCGAGGGCGCGAGCTTGCTACGCAAACAATGGAAGCCTCGCGAGGACGGCGCTATAGAAGAAGGGGAGGACGAGGGCGAGGAAGATGCGGACGCGGACGCGACGGAGGCAGAGTCGGAAGCGCATGCAGAAGCTGCAGGAGACGACGATGGCGACGAAGACGAGATCCTACTAGAGAAAATACAGATCGTACGGCCCGCGGGGCTCGCGACGGCAGCGCCTGAAACGCAAACGACAGGCAGCCCGAAGAAGGCGCGCAGAGCGAAGGGCAAGGACAAAGACAAGAGGTCTGATGCAGAAGCGGCGGCGAAGCCCGCAGCGGGGGACGTCGACGGCCTCGCGAGCTCGCTCGACGCCCTGTCTCTCGTCCCGACCTCGATCCAGTTCGGGCGCGGGGCAAAGCGCGGTGCGCTCCAAGGCGGTCGCGGGCGCGGGCATGCACGCAGGGGAAGCGTAGGAAGGGGGCACGACATAAGCGATACCCAATTGGACGCGGACGTGGCTCACGATGACGCTGCCATGGACGTCGACCATACCCAGGCTGCCCCTTCGCATTCACGGGGGCAGTATCTCCCGAGGGGTGGGGCGAGGGGCGTCATCACGATTTCGAGGGGAGACGCAGTGCGCGGGATGGGGAGGGGTCGGGGGCGTGGACCCCCTCGGGGAGTCGTGCTAGGCGCGGGTAGTGGAAGGGGAATGGGCCCCGGGCGCGGTGTGAGTAAGGGATGAAGTAGTGCCGACGCTCTCTGACGCACGGATGGCGCACGGATGTACGAGTACGGTGCTGAATCTACCAGGCAATGTATGACAGTGCGGCCCAGATGCTCCCTCGCGCTTGGCTCGTTGCGGAACGGTCATGTAGACTGACGCGCAGAATCGGACGTGCGTTATCCCTTCGCCATCATGAACGCGCTGCATCCTCGTGGTGCTACCGTGCTATAGGTGCGTATCGTCAAGTCTCTTCGGAAGACAAGTCGGCGCGGCCACAATGCTCAGGGACCAGACTGATTGAAGCGCAGTCGCCTTACGAACGCGATGCCGGCCAATGGGTGCGGTCACCCTATCAAGATTTGGCCATCGCGCTTGGGCCGAGGTGAATGCGAAGATGGCGCAATGGCTACACGGCAACGAACAACAGAAGTCTAGAGCAGTGAAGCGCAGGAGTACAATGATAAAGGAGAGGAGGACAGGGAGAATCAATCGGCAGCGTCCGTACGTCTCAGTTTGAACATGTTGGGGAGGCAACATGTCCAAAATCTATGGTAGTAGTTCCTCCGCTTCTTGAGGGGTCGATCCAGAGGCGCCCTGATCAACGCCTGCATTCCCACTCTCACCACGTTCGTCTGCTTCGTCGTCCTGACGGAGAAAGTCCTCTGGTGGAAGATAAGCCCCTAGTGAGCCGATGACCCGCTCAAATATGATAGAGCTGTCGTGGGACGTGGTCAAAACTCGCGAAGAGCCTCCGTTGACAGCTCGCAGATTGGCCTTCTGAAGACGTATAAGAAAGCGAGAGACGAGGATGCCGGATATCCTAGATAGGTGTTCCCAATAGGAACGCGCCAGTTGTGGTTAGTCAACATTTAACACCGTGTACGATGACTGTGTACATACGGGGTCACGAAGTTACTGATGTTACTAGTCTGTCCTAAGGATGGCACATCGAACTAAAGAGAGTCAATGTTGGAGCATACTTTAGGTGACTTCAGACGTACTGAGAGCAATGTGAACGTCATGTGCAGCACGTTGAGAGCAGCAAGAATTCTAGGCCGGCATGGGACTAAGCACTGCCAGCATTGCGATTGATTCTGACTTACAAAAAGTAGATGGTTCCTATGTTCTGAAGTGATTAGCACTATCGAGAGAAAATACTCGCCTCGATTGATTTGCACTCACCATCCACAAGAAGAACGTTGGTTATGGTGCCCTTCAATTGACCCAAACGACGAACGTCATAGCGGCTGGACAAGGTGAGCCACGTTGCGCCAATGGCAAGACAATCGGCAGCAATGACGCTTGTACGGGTGACCACTGTCACTGTAGTTTTGTGTGAGATGAGTGCGAGACATGACGAGAACGGAGGTCCTACGTCTAGACGATGAACTAGTGTCAATGGATTGTTCAGTAATGCGGTGGTAAGGGGTCACGTTTTTGCTGCACTTAGGGTCGTATCGCTGGCTGGAAGACATCCGACATATGGCTCGTTCACACCCGTCAGTCCAAACGTGAACTGAGTCTGTGATCATGCGCTGTTGTAAGAATTGGCCAGCTGGTGATGTTCGGTGTCACAGAGCTTACAAGGTTTGTTCCGAAAGGTACTGCGGAGAGGAGCAAGGTAATAGCCGATAAGATTATGCTCTTGCGGAGCGCATACACACGTATACCCGTGAACACTGGAGAAGTCGTATTATATAAGACGTCTGATGGAACAAGCAGAGGGCACAATGCTCACTTGCCAGGATCAGGAAGGTGCAGAATTCAACAGCTGTGTTGCCTTTGGCAGTGGCGACACAACTAGATAGGTCACTGCAAGTCAGCTCGAAGCGCACCTACCAGAGAGGATGCAACGCCGTAGAACATTACCTCTGGCAGAGCGATGACGTGAGTCACGGTCAGACAGTGGAAGGCTTGGAGTCCCGAACGGGCTGCTACGCACCTGGGCGGACATTCCCAAGTATGCCGCCATGCTCCAGACCAAGTCGAGCAGTGTCACGTATTTATTCAGCCAGAACAGAATGGCGGCAACGGTGACCTTTCTTCCCCAGAAACACCGAAGCTCATCGCCGGTAGTGATGATTGAATCATAACAGAAAAGGACTGTGACGTCATGATGAATAAGTCAGCTACATGACCTTGTGAGGCGACCCCGAGGTGGACAGCTATTTAGCGAGGCATACCTGCTCCCGCTAAAGAGGTGTAGCCGTGATTTAGACTATATGGGAGGAAGCATACTATCAGATCACTTGTCACACTTCAGTTGAGAATGGGAGGTGAATCACTTGCTAATATAACCGTTCACAATCTGGGAAGTCTGTGATGGTAAGGACATAACGACTGGTAAGCTAGTGGTCACCAGGACAGCGACAGGAGGAAGCTATTGGAGCACAGAGGCGAGCTGAGGCAGTATATTTGTATAGCCCGCTACAAGGTTTGAATCATTGTGAAAATATGCCCAAACATTGATATGAGAACGCTTCACTCACAGGTCTTCAGTGAAGTAGATTGTGATCTTTGATCATAACTGATCTCGGAGTACCCACTACTTCTTACGACGTGCTTCATTTCTCACGCAATGCCGCACAATCACGCACTGGCCTCGGGTACACGACATGGTAGACCTTCTGCTCGGCTACAGTGACATGTAGAATTCAATTGACCGAGCAAGCATACATCTGAACTTTAACTCACTACCACATGCAGAGCTATCATCCTCCGGACTGACGCCATATGTCCTATTCGCACACATGAACTCATTAGGGACCGCGATTGACGCAGCGGCTTTATCTAGAGCTAGATATAAGGAGTGTAAGGATTGAAGACAAGTGAAGCGATACAGCTACGTAACTGACGATGCGACACAGCAATGGTCAGTCGCGCCTCTGCAACGTTATCGCTCCCATCGTATCATCGGCTCCAGTCCGATACAGGTGATAGAAAAAATAGCACATGATAAACAAACTCAAAACACTAAAGTTCCGATTCCATCGCCGCCTGAGACCTTGGGCACTGCCTGTAGTCACATATCCGGTGCAGCAGTGGCGACGTTGAGTGCTGACATGATGCAAGACCTTCGTCCCAAGAGCCTGGAGCACATCAGAAAGACACGGGATATGAAGGGGTGGACGAGACGGCGGGAGCCTGCGCGGATGACGCCTTCTCAAGCTCTGAGAGAGCGCCGACTCGGATGCCGCGTATCCTTGATTGTCCTCAAATGTCCAACTAGATGGCCTCGAAGTGGCTGTAAGCATGGAATAGTGAGTAGTGATACAGATAGCAGGTACAAAGCGGTGAGGATGAAGTCCGAGAATGGCATCAGACAACGGGGCAGCATTTAGTCGATAACGCCAAGGTGGTCTTCCTTGATTGTGCCGATGGCGAACTGTCAAACAGGTCGAGGTGCGAGCCAACGTCCTTGCATTAGTGCGCTCGTCCCATCGCAAGGACGTAACAGTGTAGGGATACGCACAATCTCCGTAGCGTCGACGCGCGTACCGACAATTTTTAGACGCACCCTAGTGTTCTTCTCTATAACCTGGAAACGCATTGAAGGGCCAAGAAAGGACTCGAGAAATAAGACGCGGACTAACCTGGTCTTCTGACGCGAATGATGGTGGGTTTGAGTTGGGGTCGAACTTCAACTCAGGGTGGATGAGCTACGAGGGACGTCGTGGCGCAAGATCAACATCGACGCGAGCGAAGTAGAGCACGCCACAGCAGCGAGGACTCACTTGGTGGGACACGAAGACGGTCAAGGGTCCGACATCCGCGAAAAAGCCCATCTAACCACCGCAACCAACCGCTAGTACCCGGCCACAAGCATATCGCAGCATGAGCACGAACAAAGCGCACCTTGTTCACGTTGTTTACCACTCCATCTACCACTTGCCCCTTGAACGGCTTGAACACGATGGCGCGGTAGCGCGTTACGAATTCAGCTTGTCCGCTCCCTGGCATGACCATGCCCTTCCCGATGTCCAAAATGGATACGACAGCTATGATGTATCCAAATTCGCCGGAACACGTTCCTTCGACGTCCGAGTAAAGTTTCGACTCGAGGAACTGCAGCATCCGCGGGCCGAAGTACGAGGGATGGAGGTGAATCGTGTGTGAAAGTTCTTTCTGTTGCACATCTTAGGTGTAGTGCTGGAAAAACTCGATAGAGTCCTTACGATGAAGAACATTTTCGACTCTGCCGTCAAGGGATACTGAGGGTGATAGGAGCAGAAAGGGAAGTCGAGTCCGGTGAGGGCTTTCTCCCAGGGCGTTACCAAGCCTATTATATATTAATATTAGAAATAGTATGAACATGGCCGGCTAGCTCAGTTGGTTAGAGCGTGGTGCTAATACGGGTTTGAACATGTGTTCTGACGGTGTGACGCCAAGGTCGTCGGTTCGACCCCGGCGCTGGCCATGGTTTTTGCGCAGCATTTTCCTCATTTTCCTAAACTTTAGCTGCCATTCAGTGAGTCCCCACAGGTCTCCTATGATTGTAGTAGTTCATGCAAGGATCTGCGAATACATTACCATGATGTGCATTGGCCAATGCCGCGGTCCCAAACAGAGGAGACAGGCCTGGACCGGGCATACATTCCCAGGCCGTTTCTCTGTGCTCGGTTTGGGTCCGGGGCATTGGTCAATGCCAGTCATGTACACACGTGCATGTACAGTAACACGCCTTGTCCAGATATTGCCCGTCGTCGTGAACAACCGCCGTATGTCCATGGGTGACTCAGGTTGGCCAATATGGTGGAGACAACGTATGCGGAGGTTTACTCGAGAAATATATGACGGTTATAGTGAGGCTTAACTGAACTTGGGCAGTTGTCATATTGACTCCTGTGAGCTTACATCATGCTCGTAACGCATCATGCTGCAAACGTTTCACGATCGCGCTCTCTTACCATGAGTGTTGAGCTCAAGCAAGTGCCTGGTGGCGTGATTTCTCTGCTAAATATTACAAGCGTAGGTGACTGATGGTGGAATTAGACCGCAAAGCCCTGTAAGTGAAATGTCAGCTATTGTTCGAACACAGAAGGCTCCCCACGATGCTTACTCCGTTCACCCTGATCGTCTGGCCGTTTATCCAACTCGCCTCGTCGCTGACGAGGAATTGCACGAGGTTGCTGACCTCCTCCGCCTGGCCGAGCCGCTTTTGCGGATGGATGCTCTCGAAGAACGCGATCTGCTGCTCCGTCTTCCCATGGCGGAAGAGGTCGGTATCGATCGGTCCAGGGGCTACTGTGTTGACGTTGATGCCGCGCGCCCCGAGGTCCTTCGCAAGCACGCGGTTGATTTGCTCGACGGCGCCTTTGGTAGCGGCGTACAGGAGGTAGTTTGGAGGAATGGTGGATGCGTGTGTGAGGGACGTGGAGAAAAGGACAACCTTGGAGCCTGACAGGGACAAACAGATTCCGTTAACTCTTTAAGACCCCCTTGACTAAAAGTGCGAACATACCAGGCTTCAAATGCGGCGCGGCTGCCTGGGTGAGGAACAGAGGACCCTTCACGTTCGTGTCGAAATGCTTGGCGTACTCCTGCTCGGTGACGTCCTTCAAAAGTGCGTACTCGAGGTATCCCGCGTTCAAGACCAGGCTGTCGATGCGCCCGAACTGTCCGAGTGCTGCGTCGACCAGTTTCTGGTTTCCGGCGAGGGAGCCGACGTCCGCCTAGACGGTGATCGCTTTACCCGCGCCCTTTGCGTTGATCTCGTCCGCGATGCTCTGCGCGACGGCGGCGCTCGCGACATAGTTGATAACAACGTTCGCGCCCTGGGATGCAAGGCGCTTCACGATCGCAGCGCCGATACCGCGCGAGGAGCCAGTAACAATCGAGACGCGGCCTGTGAGAGGGAGAGACATGGAGTCAGGTATAATGTGGAGGAAGGGGATGTATGTAGTAGCTGAGGGGCTTACTGGCTTCCGAAGCGATGACCCGCCTTATATAGTGCGGTTATTGCGGAGGACGATGTGGGAGGTGTGTGTGTGCATTAATAGAGAGGTTCAAAAACACGGTTTGCCCGTCTATTCGTGGGGCGGTGGCGCGACTGGATCTGGTCACGCCGTTCATCACTTCGGGAGTCGTCTCGCTCGAGGGCCGATCTGAGCGCCCGTCACGTTTGCGGAGCTGACGGTGGGGCCTCGATTTGTGGCGTTTGTGAACCTCTCTACATATTACACCATTGACTGTGCCACGTGACGGGAGGCGATTTCGGACATCGAGCACCCTCAGATGCTTACGCAGGCGATGTCAGGATGAACGACAGATGTGCGGGGTGTCTGTGGGGCTCGCTGGGTCCAAGTTAATAAGGGGCAGTCATATCTATGGCGTTCCGGTGGACGATTCGTGTCGAATCGCCGGTGCGAGTCTGGAGGAGCACCGCCCACCCGAATCGCGATTCTCTGCTCTCGATTCCCTCAGCCCGACCTTGGATAAGTCCTCATCGGGGTTTGGTTTAGCATGTCTTGCGAGCGACCGCTTGCCGCTTCTTTACTTCTATCGTAACTGCTGATCTACAAAAATTACTCCACCTTCGAATGTCCAACCAGACCAAAAACCTGGCCATATCACCCGGCCACCTGCTGCTGCCTCTGGCACGAAGACCGGGAATGGAGTGCGCCGTGTCTTGATGAACTGAATACATCGCTCTGTAGGCCCGAAAGCTGTAACGAGGCATAGTAGGGGAAGAACAACGCGGCACACGGAAGAGAAACCATCGCGCGAGGATGCGTAGAATACCTAATTCTGATATCATAGACGCCCGAAGGCCTGGCCGATCGACCCGTAGACTTTTACTAGAAACGTGGGATTCCCTTCCACCGGATCGCTGCAGAACCGCTGGTCGAACCGTCCTCCGAAACGCCATCTTTGACCACCTCTATCAATTATCACCTTCGTTGCATAGACCGGTCGGAGGCTTGGCCGCCGAATCCTTGGGTATCGGTTGCATTCCTCACGCCCATCTCGGTCCGGCAAACATCCATGGTGCCTGCAGTACAAAAGTGTAGCATTTGCCTGTACATGCACCCGAAGAAGATTTGTTTTGTACTCTGGGGCGGACCACTTTGTCATCGGGGACGATAGCTCGCTTAAATAAAAGTCGGGTCATATAAGGAAGTTTTGGAGTGTCCCGAGGACCCAGGCTAACACGATAACAAGCTGAGGAGCTCTCCTCGAGCTCCCTTTCTCCTTGCCACTAAAACTTCAGATACAGTAGAGATGATAGCCGTGATGAGGTCTATCGATCCCGATTTCATTCCAGAGAGGACAGGAGAACTCACGCTGGCGAAAGCAAGCAAGTGTCCCGATGACCAGTGCACAAGACCATTCGGTGGGCGGCCGGCCGCCTATAGGTGAGATCGCGAGGACATTGCGCGATCTACAACGAGAGATGACTTCTCTCATATGACACGCCTTCATCAAGTGCTCCAGCTAGCAATGAGGCGTAATCTCCAGATGCTTGCTGTTGACCGGGCTTCAGCAGAATCCGTGGGATTACAGAGAGATCCGGCACAATCGTGGAGATACCTTCAAAGGCCAAGTCAACTATGGGATACGCAAGAACGAGTAGTGTGTTGTGAGGATACACGGAATGTTGGCCACATCTGACAATACATGATTTCGTAGAATTTGTGGCAACCTGAGTATAGACGACAGATTATGAGCGAGAGTAAAATGTTTCTACCAACGCTAGATACAAAAAGCTTCACGAACAAAGGGTTCCAAGGAATGACGGGTCTTGGTTGACTGGGAGCAACCATGAACATAGACGCGGCGGGGGTGTGCAGGTACGCAACACAGCATCCCCTCACCTGCCCGAGGTATTGTGATCCGTGCAAGTATTTATCGGTCGGGGGTTGCAACGCGGTCGACAAGGGGTATCTTGGCGAGGTCTATACGTTGATGTGACGGCAGTGAAAGTGTAGAAGTATCCCAGAAGCAAGAGCATGAAAGTATGATGCTGTTCTAATCGGTAAGTAAGTTTATTTACCCCAGAAATACGGCATGCTAAAGGGTGGGATAGTGTACAGCATATGCGGCTTAGATCAATTAATCAGTTCCTTACCAAGTTCCACGTAGCTCCTTCCGCCACCACTTAACTGTGCTCGCTGTGCAGCGCAGCGGGCAACACTTGGCCATGGCCATCCACCATAGGGCCCTCTTACTACTCTTGAGCGTAGCCTCCTGGCTACTGCTCGCCGCTGGCCAGCCCCAGCACACCATCAGCCGCTTCGAAAACCTGCCGGCAAGGCTCTTCTTCTTCGATGATACTACGGTGAGCGCACCGCGTGGCCCGCATGACACCCCCTCCCATTCGGCTCATTGACCCTTGCCTAGAGTGTCATCTACCACGACGTCGTGAAAGGAACGGTGTACACCTCTCCGGATGAGGGCAAGTCGTGGGGCATCGCGGACGGGGTCCCGGAGGGCAAGGCGGCCATGGTCATTGAGCATCCATTCGACAACCGATTGGTGCGTACGCTTGTGCATCCAGAATGTGTCGGTGGCTAGACCGCATGGCTCGCGTCTTGTAGGCATTCATTCTCACGAGGGGGAAGAACCACTACCGAACACTAGACCGCGGCAAGACATGGCAGAACTTTGACATGCCGCTCTCCCCCGCATTAATCGGGAGACCGCTCTCCTTCCATTCGGACCCGGCAAAGTGGGGCTACATCCTCTACCAAGGAACAGTATGCGACAATAACGGCGGATGGGGGGATTCGTGCCACGACGAGGTGCGTTTTGTTTCTGTGTTGGTGCATCCCCGAGCCCCCCTTTCCACGCGACGCGGTCCATGAGTCAAAGTGTGCTTGTGCGCGCTCCTTTTCCGGCTGCAATCTGCCAATTTGACACGCTGCGTCGCGATACCTTCGAACGTATCTGATTGTAGGCGGAGTGTCGCGGCGCTGCGGTCATGATGTGGGACACCCGCGCATCGCGGTGGCGCGTCTACAACACGTACAGTCCGGGAGGCATTGTTTTCCACATACATTTGGTACATTACGATCTGGCTGATGCGCTCCCTAGACCTACTACACAAAGGACGCGTTCACCAGTGACGCGAGACTTCTCTTCGCGGACTCGTCTCGCTGCCAATTCGCTCACAGCAGCAAGGACTTCAAACATGACGCGCACGAAGACCTCATCTACTGCGTGGGCTTCGAAGCTTCCGACTCGACCGGCAGCCACAGGCTGTCTTCCAGCCGTCTCTTCTCTTCCACGAACTTCTTCGAGACCGAGAGAAGGCTCGAGGACCTCGGCGCAGGAAAGAATGCCCGCGGCATCGTCGCGTTCGCCATCGTTTCCAAGTTCGCAGTCGTTGCGCTGAAGGACTACTCGGAAGGCTCTAACGGGGATATGCTCCTGTACGTGACAGTGGATACGAAGACGTGGGCCAAGGCACGATTCCCGCACTCGTCGGAAGCGCGCCTGCGCGAGAACGCATACACTATTGTGGAGTCGACGACGCATTCGCTTGGAGTCGACGTGTTGACACACGACCAGAGCGCGATTGGGACGCTGTTCGTGAGCAATTCGAACGGGACGTTCTTCGTGGAGAGCTTGAAGGACACGAACCGGAACGAGGTGGGCTACGTCGACTTTGAACAGATATACGGAGTGGAGGGCGTCGGGATCGCGAACGTGGTGAGGAACGCGGCGGACGTCGAGGGGCGGCGTGCGCGGAAGGAGTTGCAGTCGCGCATCACGTTTGATGACGGTGGGTGCCTGTCATGGTGAGTGGATGGGCTGGTGCTCATGCTAGCGTGAACAGGACGGACGTGGTCACGTCTGAAGCCGCCACGGGAGGACGTGGATGGGCATCGGATCGGTTGCGCCCCCGAGGTTGACAGCTGCTCGCTGCACCTGCACTCTGTCACGCTCCCGCACAACTTCGGACGGGTGTTCTCGTCGCCTGCGCCTGGGTTTGTGATGGGCGTGGGGTCGATTGGGGAATACCTGCAGCCGTACGAGGAGTGCGACACGTTCCTGAGCACGGATGGCGGGGTCACCTGGAAGATGGTGCTCAAGGACGCGCACAAGTACGAGTTTGGTGATCAGGGCAGCTTGCTTGTCGTCGTAAACGACGAGGATGGCGACGACGTGATCCGCTACTCGACCGACTATGGCAAAAGCTGGTATGTCTGCCTGATCTCGTTGTTCGAATCCACGGCCGACATACTGTCTGGCACGCAGGAAAGAATACAACATTGGTATCCGCCTCCGCGCACGCATTTTGACCACGGTCGGAGATTCGACCTCTCAGAAGTTCCTTCTCGTTGGTCAGGTGGCTAGGAAGGACCAAATAGAAGGGCAAGGTCGCTATGCCGTTGTGTTCCTGGACTTTGCGACGCTCGACAGACGGAAATGCAGCAGTAGCGACTTCGAGGATTGGATAGCGCGTTCGGCAACGCATGAATGTCTCATGGGTCACAGGGTACGTGTCGGAACGGGGTTTCGCTAGGCGTGCAAGGCTCATCCACACACAGCAAGCATACACGCGTCGCAAGGCAGATGCAAACTGCTACGTCGGTGAGAAGTTCCGCGATCCTGTCCCTGTCGAGGAGGCGTGCCCGTGCACCGACGAGGATTACGAGTGGTATGTTGGAGTCGTCGTTTCCATGGTATCGTGGAACTGAGCATATGTTGCAGCGATTACAATTTCATCAAGGACGGGGCGGATTGTGTTCCTGCCGGACCCGAGCCTATTCCTGCGAACGTGTGTCGCGAGCCCCACGACACGTACATGGGATCGTCGGGGTACCGCAAGATTCCTGGCAACACCTGTCAAGGTGGCAAGAAGAAGGATGAGCCCAGATCCAAGCCTTGCAAGAACGGTAAGCGACGCAGCCGTCCACTTCATGAGTATGTCTCTGACGAAAATGATTGAAGCTCAACCAGCGGAGGGCGAGATCATCCACCAAACTGTGAGTATGTTCGGATATCCCCATCTTACTGATCACTTACAGTTTATTATCAGTTCGAGTTTTCCAGCCCGATCGTCCAGTATGCGTATTTCCGCGACTCGACCGTCATCTTGGTCCGGCTGTCAGACAACAGTGTCTGGCAGTCACCCAACGAGGGCTATACGTGGAACCAGATCGAACCAGGCGAAACGTTCGTTGCTTTCTACCACCATACATTTGCCTCCGACCGCGCCTACCTCATCACAAACGACAAGAAATACTGGTATACGACCGACACAGGCAAGACTTGGTTGCACATGTCGACCGAATCTGTCCCGAACACGTTTGGCCTGCCTGTCCTGCGCTTCCACCCGGACAGATCAGACTACCTCATCTGGACTGGTAATGAGGGCTGCGGCGGATTCGGGGAGAACTGTCACGCAACTGCATATTACTCGCTCGACAATGGGCGCAAGTGGACAAAGATTGAGGAGTACGTGCGAAACTGCGCGTGGGCGCGGGACGCGCAGCTGCGAGTCGACCCGAACCAGATCATCTGCGAGTCGTATAAGAACAAGCAGGGCAGCCAGCGGTACTTCGGGCTCGATAACCCGCTTGAGTTGATAAGTGGCGCGGACTTCTATAGGCAGAAGTCGAAGCTGTTCGACCACGTTGTCGGCTTCGCGAAGTTCTCCGAGTACCTCATCGTTGCTGAGGTAGGATGACGTTGCCTGGTGCTCAAAGAACTATACTCATTCATTCTGTAGTATCAAGCGCAGAAGCAGTCGTTGGATATCCAGGTCTCGCTTGACGGACGCAAATTTGCTTCGGGCGAGTTCCCACCCTCTATGCGCCCAGATCAACATGTAAGCCGGAACTTCTCACTATACCTTGCATTCTCTCATATTTTCGTTTAGGCATACACAATCCTCGAGTCCAGCACGGAGTCTGTCTTCTTGCATGTCACGACCTCCGAGCCTCCTGCACCGTATTGGGGCAACATCCTCAAGTCAAACTCGAACGGAACCTATTACGGTCTCTCAATTGACAACGTCAATCGCAACGACGCGGGATATGTCGACTTCGAGAAGATGGTTGGCCTTGACGGCATCGCGCTCATCAACGTGGTTTCTAATCCAACGGAAGCTCCACTGACCGGTCGTAAACTGCTGCAGACTCGGATCACGCATAATGATGGTGTGTTGCGTCCAGTTTTCGCTCCGGAGTGTTGTAGTAAGTACTAATGTACATCCTGCCAGGTGGTAGTTGGCGTCCTCTTGTTCCGCCTGCCACCGACTCCCTGGGAAACCGTTATGCATGTGATAGCACGGTGGGTGTTTTCAATGGCTGATTGTGGTAGCAAGATGTTGATGTCCGATTAACTTCAGAAATGCGCCCTTCACATCCATGGATACACGGAACGCTACGATGTCCGAGCGACCTACAGCACACCTTCAGTGCCTGGTATGTTGATGGCTGTCGGCAACGTCGGCGAGTCTCTCGACCCCTACGACCAGAGTGGCACATTCTTGAGCCGCGATGCTGGTTTCACTTGGCAGGAGGTCAACAAGGACGCACATCTCTGGGAATTTGGCGACTCAGGCTCCATTCTTGTGATGGCGAACGACGAAGGACCCACAGACCACATCTTGTTCAGTACAGATGAGGGTCTAAACTGGCGGGAGTACAAATTCACCGATGAGGCGATGCGTGTCAAGGCCATCATTACCGTGCCCTCAGACACAAGCCGGAGGTTCATCCTCATGGGGTTCTATCCTCGCGCCAGGAATACTGCCGTCGCGGTCCACGTCGACTTCTCATCCCTTACTCGGAAGCAGTGTCGTATTGACCTGGAAAAACCCAATGACGATGACTTTGAGCTGTGGAGCCCAGCTGAGAATCGTGACGAGCAGTGCTTGTTTGGTCGTCAGGTACTTTACCCCCTTCCTGTTGTATATCTGTTTGGTCGTCTCACTATGCTCTTACAGACGATATTCCACCGTCGCAAGCGCGATGCCAACTGCGTTGTCGGTAATGTTGAGAAGCAAGCGACGAAGATCGTGAAGAATTGCAAATGTACGGAGGCGGACTTCGAGTGGTGAGTGGGCTCACGGTTCATGCGCACTGGTTGTGGCTCGGTGACTAATTATGCGGAGTAGCGAGTTCAACCACGTCCGGAACGACGCTGGAGAATGTGTTCTTCTCCCGGGCCTGTCACCACGAGATCCGGACCCCAATGCCCAGTGTCGTGCAGAGGACGCCTGGTACGAATTAACCGCGTATCGCAAGATCCCATACTCGTCTTGCGAAGGCGGTGTACGTCTCGATCGTGGCGCCAAGCACACCTGCCCGGGCGTTGGTGGACACAGCGCGTTCTTCTGGCTGATGATTCTGTTCATCCCCGTCTGCTTCGCTGGTCTTGCGGGATACTACTACCTCAAGAAGGGCGGTTATGGCAGAGGGTATGTCCCTATCCAGACGGACTTTTGACTCGTGCTGATCATCAACATGATGTAGGGCGATCAGACTACCTGGAGGGGACGGAGCGTCACGATACTCGAGCGGCTCAGGCGTGCTTGACACTATCGCGAGTGTACCGTACTTCCTCATCGGCTTGGCGGGCGTCGCGTATGAGTGGGTTGCAGAAAAGTTCGACGCCGTTGCTATTCGACTGCAGGGACGCGGAGGGTACCGCAATCTGCCAGTCGACGAAGACGCGCAGATCTTGCGGTTCGAGGACGAGGAATCGTGAAGTCGGGGTTCAGAAGGGGGAGGGGACGTGGACTGCTCTGCCAATACACCTAGTCTGTTGTTTATTTAGTACTACCGTCTTTGCGCCATCGCAGCCTCTAATATTCTCGATACTCTGCCGGATAACCTTGGATGCCTGTATATAAGTACAAGAGGAACTGTATCATCTCTATCGTGGGCTTATTCATCGCAAGATCCTTGCGTGCAAACCTTGAGCTCCGTTGCCCAAGTCCTTTATCTGAGGCACCTGCGAGTTAACAGAACCCATATCGCAATCTTCTCCACGGAAATCTCCCGAGACTTGTGTTCGTGGTGGATTTTGGTGCGGATACCATATCTGACGTATTGTACAACGGAATGCTGACTGTGTGATTCGCGAATATCCTGAAACGATTCGTGATGCCGAATATATCAATAGTCGATGCGATATGGTGATACAGAGCAGAAATGTTACAAAGCGTGACGAGATAGCACAAAGACGACAAGCGGGACTGATCTCTGTGCATCAGCTGAACTCCGGAGTCGGTCGTGTCAGACAGCTGTTTACCAGGACAAGGGCTATGATATGAGACGGCGGAGTTGGTATATTCCTTCACGAGCCACAGCGACGGTGTCGTAGACGACTCGCTCCGGCGCGGACTCCGTGCGCGAGCGTAGCCTCCATCGCAGAAGTGTCTCATCGGTGCGACTGTAGATTGCTTCGAAGATGTGAAACGCTGCATCCGCAGTGGGTCGTTGTGTAGGGTCCTTCCACTTCATCATGTTGACCAGCGGCCGGATGAGGTCGAGTCCATGATACTTCTGAGGGACTGTCAGGGAAGAGACTTACAGGGAGGAGATAGAGTTTCACCGATATGAACTCCTTGTGATAGAGATTTCCGAGGGCGAACACATCCGCCCGGTACGCGTCGTAAGGGACCTCGTTTGACAACTCCGGGATTTCTTTGTCCCGACCTGTTCGACCAAGCACCAAGGGATCCTCCCCCTCCTCGAAAAATGCCGATAACCCGTAGTCAATATAGTAGTAGCGCACGCTACAATCAGATCTTGAGAGAGGCCGTGCGTCAATGGCGCCGTCGGGGAGAAACTCGGTTCTAACTGGGTGGTAGCCTTCGGGATAAAGCGATCTTCCGTCCATCATCACATTCGCGGCAGCGATATCACTAGATATCGTGGATGAGTATACGCTCCAAATCGAGAAGGTTTTGGCGAACCGATGAGCTACTCGACATTCGTGGAGAAAGCGCAAGCCCTCGAGCTGAGGTCAGTATTTGCTGGAGCCAAAAGTTATTATTTGGCAGTACCTCAAGGGATTGACGTATGAAGTCCATGACCTCGCCAATTGTACCGAATTCAGGGTCGTAAAATCGGCGTAAGTGGGGCATAACCATCAACGACATGTGTGGTTCTAGTGGGTCCTGGCGGATATCAAGAACAGGCACGCAATGATTCCGAGCGGATTGTTGCTCTGTAAGGTAACGAGCGATGTGCAACTCCCGCGTATCGTTCGGGGTTGACTTGATAGCCACTCGAAATTGATCTGAGCGGCGAGTAGCATCCATCACCCCCGGAGTCTGCACACGACGGGTGAGTGTGTGAATGAAGTGGAGGGACGCGACAAATCACATACAATCAGCATAATGGAGTCTTCGCAGAACATAGGATCCCTATTGGTGCCAATCCACGAAGGTTTCCAGTCTGGATGATACCTGGGTCGTAAGGTATAACCACAGCTGTCGAGGAAGAAATAGCGATCTTTCCAGTAGACCTCGCCGGGAAGCAACTTATACAAGCCATCTTCGGTGTCCTTTGCATGACGTGCAGCAGATTCTGCGTCAACATAAGCGTAGCGTGGTAGACGAGCGGGCGTAGCACTCATCGGACGGTGACTGGATGAACTTGTGAGAAGAACAAGTCTAAAGTTATTAAGCGCCAGAAAGGTCACGTTCTGTGTTGATGGGACCCGACAAAGGCTATACTATATTCGTGAGTTACTCGCTATGATATGTCCTCGTCTCTAGCATCGATGCACGTTGCAGCCTCATTCTTGTTCCCAAATGCTCCCACGGCTTCAGAATAAGAGGATAGCAAGGCGATGAGCGACTCGTTGCCCCCTGCCCCGAGTATCACTACTACCAGCTTAGCAGGCTTCAGAGCTCGTTCAACATGTCCAGCACTAGCAGCGCTGGATGGAACACCCTGAACATCCTCTCTGGAGCAATTAGCTTCTTGACCATCGTCTCTCTGATCTGGGCGTTCGTCCGGGACCAACACCCCGAGACCAGGATGAAGGAGTTGGAGTCCACTTTGAAGGACACCGAAGCACTCCTGCGGTCTCTTGTGGAAGAAGGATTGCTCGATCATCAACGGCATGTCCACCATTTCGAATCGCATCTTATATTGTATGCTTCCTTTCCGATCTGCACCGTTGTCTCTTCTGTACCAACATCGTCTCAGATACCGTTCTCGGACGGAGTCATTTCGTGAAGAAACCTGTATCGCCATAATTGACTGGCGCAAAGTCCTCAAAGCATGGCTCCAGGGGCTGTCAAAACGGATCGCCACCCTTTCCATGCAAGTCAAGCAAACTCGAGCCGAAATTTGCGTATGTACTAGACATCTGATGTGATGGGCGTCGTTAACCTACGATGTATTCATACAGGAGACCAGTGCCGAAGCGAGGTTGCAGTTAATGCAGCAACTTCCGGCCAACGAGTCACCGACATGGCATACGAACATCCTCAAGTTCTGGCGGCTTATGAGATCCTCACGTTCGTCAGACAATGTGTCATAGACCCCCTCTCGTGTTCTCTGACATGCTTCTGTCCCTGATCAGTGCGCATATGTTCTGCTACCAAGAGTGTAGATGGACCCACCAGTACGGTATCGGCCACTCCAGTGGCCGATGCTACCGTATCGCCCATTGGAGACGGCACCATGACGCTCATGGTCGGGGATTGTGCATGTGCGCACGTTCCTTCCCCTTCCCCTTCACCGACGTGTGAGGCATCATCTCAACGCTCTCGGCCCTCTTCCCGTGTGCTGGAAAGGGGTATAATCGATAACGGACACAGCGTGCGTACCGTGGTTTGTGGGCTCCGCCGCCTGGATCGAGAACTGGCCGCGCAAGGAATCGCGCACCCTCTCCTAACCGACCTCGTGCGAGCCACGAAGAAGTGGTCCCCTGCGTCAAGCCGGGCATCCTATCCCCGACGTTCACGCAGGAAGCGTAACTCTGTGTCTCGCGCAGACAATGCGGTGATTCTTTCGCCATTAATCAACGAGGCAGTTGCTGAGTCCGAAGAGCACTGGTTGGAGGAGGATACGGTGTGCGAGGCATAATTCGCACACACCGCCTCGAAGGCCGCGTGCTACTCATGACGTTAACCCGTTCCCGGGATAGCGAGTTGAGCTTCGCACTGTTTGCGAAGTATTTGTGATACGTCCTCACCTCGTCGGCTCCTCGCGACAATGTCCCCACATGTCGGTTATGTATGCGGAATTCTCTCGTCTCCTCTTCGCTTCGTCCTCTACCCAGTCTTCCCCTTCCTCATACCGCTTCATCCATTCCATCGTTTCACATATGTACTTTTCCTATATCTCCGACTTCCTCTTGTTCCTGTCCTCGCCGCTCTGTAACGTCGTGACCGCTTCTTGTATGTTGGTGAATACGCACTATATATGTGTCCCGTTGCCGTGGAAGAGAATGCCGTTACCTGTGTGAAACGCTGGAAAGTGACGACTAGAGATTGTATTCAGGGCATGCACTCTGAATCGCCGTCACTAGAAAGTGTGGCCATAACTGCCCGAACTCATCGTCTGGTAACCTTTGAACCTATTTCAGCGTCCTTTAGAAGCGTCCTTTTTATTTCACTGGCTCTTAAATCGTAGATTCATGGCGACACTAGGACATCGATGCGCGGTGATGGACGCGAAGCGCACATATCGTTTTGCGCACCTGAACAAAGGAGATCTGTCGCCCATATCCACAGAGTCGCTACCTGTTGACGACGATACTATCACTGAACTCGCAAACTTGATGACGAGATGGGTGACTTCGACAAAGTGGACAATTTAGATGGGGCCTGTTGTCAAGGACAGTGGATATCGGATGTCTAAGAGACTAAGTCTTCGTATGTCCAAGAGACCTTTTGCCAGGTCTCAATGCACGAACGCCTTGCAATGAATGATGGCTTGGGGTCAGTGGAGTGTAGAAGCGATATGGTGTTACAAGTAGCGATGTACAAAGCGTTACGAGACAGCAAAAAGACAGCGAGGCGCACTGATCTCCCCCGATAAGTTGAGCAGGGGTGCATCGACGAGCGTGCACGAGTGCTCACCAGGACTAGGGCTATGACATGAGACGGCGGAGTTGGTAGATCCCTTCCCGCGCAGCAGCGACAGTATCGTAAACGACTCGTTCGGGCGCGGACTCCGTGCGCGAGCGAAGTCTCCAGCGCAAGAGTGTCTCGTCGGTGCGGCTGTAAATCGATTCGAAGATGTGGTATGCGGCGTCCGCAGTCGGCCGCTGGGCAGGGTCCTTCCACTTCATCATGCTGACCAGAGGCTGGATGAGTTCGAGGCCGTGATACCTCTGCTAGAGCGATTAGGGTGAAGATATATACTCTCAAAAGTGATCGTACCGAGATGAACTCCTTGTAGTAGAGATTTCCGAGTGCAAAGACGTCCGCGCGATATGCGTCGTAGGGGACCTCGTTCGACAACTCGGGGATCTCCTTGTCGCGGCCTGTACGTCCCAATACTAGTGGAGGCTTCCCCTCTTCGAACAAAGTTGATAGACCGAAGTCGATGTAATAGTACCGCACGTTGCATTCGGACCGTGAGAGTGGACGTGCATCTACTATACCATCTGGCGCATAGTCAATCCTGACTGGATGGTGTCCTTCTGGGTACAAGGATCTTGAATCCATCATAACGTTTGCTGCGGCGATGTCCCTGTAACAGTTGTATCAGCAGATGTCTGAGATCAAGAGTACATAACAAACCGATGTGCAACTCGACAATCGTGGAGAAAGCGCAGACCCTGTAGATGAAGGAAGAATGGTGTTACGTCAGACTTAAGACAACACTCACATCGAGTGACTGCCGTATAAAATCCATGACCTCGTCGATAGTACCAAAGTCGGGGCTGTTGAAGCGGCGCAGGTAAGGCATGACCATTAGTGCTATGTTAGGTTCGAGGGGGTCTTGAAAAACGTCGAGGATCGGCACGCAATGATTTCGATCCGAATGTTGTTCTGTGAGGTAGCGCGCAATGTGCAGTTCCTTTGTGTTGTCCACTGTGGATTTTATGGAGACAAGGAAATTGTCCGTGCGCCGAGTAGCATCAATCACATTCGGGATTTAGATGGAGCCAGTCAGCGATTCACCCATGGTTGTATGATCGGATAAACTGACATACAATGAGGCCTATTGAATCCCCGCAGAACATTGGATTTCGATCTGTGCCTATCCACGAAGGTTTCCAATCCGGATGGTACCTGGACCGAAGAGAGTAACCACGGCCGTCGAGGAAGAAGTAGCGATCTTTCCAATATATCTCGCCTGGAAGCAGGTCGTATACGCCAGCTGCAGTATTCTTAGCGTGTCGGGCGGCAGATTCAGGGGTGACATATGCGTAGCGCGGAAGGCGAGTGGGACTTTTGCTCATGGGGCGATGACCACGATGAACTTGCGAAGACAACTTTCACGATCAAGACACTTGCAATTGACTCGGACTCCGGAAACGTCAGGATGCAATAGACGCCCACTCTTCCATTTATGGTCAAGCCGTTCAAGCTGCGTGTCGTCCGAGGCCGGCCACGGTCAGTACGCGTTATCCTTCGGTCTCGTCCTCGTTGCAGCCTCGTTGTTTGACCTGCGTGATCTCCACGAGAGACACATATAAGCCGTTGAGAACGGGCGGTACCATGATCCCCCTTTCTTTCTTGTCTTCTTGCAGAGCTACGAGATTCTCCCAGGATGTCCGACAGCGACGTTGGCGCCAATATCTGGAACATAGTATCAAGCGCAATTGGTGTTTTGGCTTTCGTATGTGGTATGTAGAGGCTGGTAAAAGACCAGAACCCCGAGACGAAGCTTGTGGAGCTGGAGACGACGCTCAAGGACACCGAGATATTGTTCCGCTCCGTCGTCGAGGAGGGTTTGCTTCATCCCATCCGCCACGTTCCTCATTTTGAATTACATCTCACATCGTGCGCATCGCAGTCGTGAATTGCATTCCCCTTCGTACACTGAAAGCGATTTAGGTTTCGTACTCAGGCGGATACCTTCCGGGAAGAGACATTCATCGCCTCCGTCGCATGGCGCAAGCTGGTAGCGGCATGGTTCAATGGGCTATCGAGAGAGATCGGGTCTCTCTGCAAGCAAGTGAGGGAACTTCGTGCGAACATATGCGTGAGTTCCAATATAATCGGAACCACCAGCTCCAACTGATGTCGTTCTACTGCATTGAAAGGAAACCAGTGCCGAAGTGAGGATGCAGCTCCTGCAGGGACGTTCGAATGAAACCTTGCCTCCTCGTTCGCGGCGTGCGAGATTTGCGAGACTTCTGCGACGTCTTGCCTGCATAGGTGAGTGTCATATGACCACCCGCCCTCTAGACGAGCCTAATGATACATCGGGTTCAGCTCACAGGAAGTCCGTTGCTGAGGTCACTGATGTAACGACACAGACGACGTCTTGCCCTGCGACAGCTGGTACTATTGTCTCTCCAGTAGCGGCCGGAGTGAGAGGGACATCCGTTGTCGAGACAGTGATGTGCCCACCGGTTATGGCATGCGATCCCGTTCTACCTATCCCACAGTCGTCCATCCCACGGTCCCAGTCACGGCGCGCTTCTCCCCGTTTGTCTGGCACTGCCATACATATCAAAGAGTTCGACGCCTGTTCTCTCATCAACGCGATCCGTCGTGTGGATCGAAGGCTGGCGTCCCAGAGCCTGACGCGGCATCCGTCCCGATTCGTGCGGGGGACGAAGAAACGGTGGTCCCCTGCGTCCAGCAAGGCGTCCTATGCCCACCCTTCGCGCACGCAGCGTGGCTCGCTGCTCTCTACAGAGCACACGGTAACTCTATCACCCACGCAAGGCCCTGGTGTCGATTGTGACAGCGATTGGTCGGAAGATACGATGTGCGAGGCGTAACTCGCCCATTTGGTGACGTTCACCGTGCGATCAGCACGCGTAACCTTGCGCTCGACCAGCATGTTAAACTTCGCATGGTTTGCGGAGTATGCCATGATAACGTCCTCACGACCTCCTCTCTCATCGATGCTCTCCTCGCGCGTCGATTACACTTACCTCCTCTCGCATGTGATCCTCTCCGCTACATGCTCGTTCTTTCGACCTCTCTCCTCTTCGCAATGCTGTTCCGGTTCTCTCCATGTAATCCCTTCTTGTCGACCGTGTACATGCCCATCCATTTCCCCGCCTTCCCGTCAACGATACGCCTGACGTTGATCGCTGATCTGAAGTGATAACGATCCTGTACGATGGGCTATTAATGTCGTCGATGTATATGCCTCAATCATTTATTGTTCTAACAGCAATTCGCAGTACGACATTCTGTTCATGGCTGAAGCGGTCAACAATCAGTAATGACGAGTACATATGAGTGTGTGTATGACTCACTATAGCCTCACGTATCACGCAGTACCTGAGGTAGGTCCCACCTTGTTCGGGTCAACCATTCGCTCCTCCGTCTCCAACGTCCCTCCAAACGGCAATTCCGAAACCATGATGATAGGTTCAGCGGAGATTGTCGTCTCGTGTTCTCCGAACGCCTGCCAATTGTTGACGGGAATGATGAAGGCGTTGAGAAAATGAGGAATGTGCGTCTCACAGGGCCCCTAGCCACCACCTCCTACCCTCCAGGACGCTAAGATGTATGGGGCGGGTTACGAGACCTACTCGGAAATAGAATACTGGAAATAGGGAGCCATAGCAAGCAGGCGGGTAGGTGCACGGAACGCTAGGGTCGCTGGTTGCCATACCACCTACCCCAAAGATATCGATCGAGCATATGGCGCTCTCTGTCCGACCGCGCATGCTGGTTCAAGTTACTAAAAGGATGATCTGAACACCGGGAGAGCGGAACAAGCGGCATACTAGGTGGCGCCCGCGACATATTTTGCGTTCATCTCCTTGTACAGGAGCGAAAACGTGCGAAAGGCGGTGTACTCCTCTGATGCATCAAAGGTCTTCTCGTTCCATTCAGGAATTATCTTGCTAAACTGTCCAGACTACAACTAGAGTCCCGCCAGTTTCCGTGGATACCGCATGCTTTGAAACCCCCATTAGCGTTTGCTCGGGCTTACCCGAGCAAACGCTTAGAAAGATGGATAGTCAAGACCAAGAACGTACACGCAGATCCTATTGACATGGTATGAGCCACCGGCCAGATTCGCAAGCTGATCTCCGGTATGTGGATGGAATCTGGCGGTCAAAGTACCTCGACCATATATACTGAAGCGGCTAGAGGTCTTTATCAGGTTCCAGCTCTCAATAGGACATGACGTGGCTGAAGCGGGCTGCAGTGGCAGATCTCAGGTGTATCCAGGAAAAGCCAGAAAGAGTGGCCATTACATGTCGACCGAGGGTTCAGTACTTCAGTATAGACAGCTAGCTCAGTACAGTTGAATATCTAATAATGAATAATGTCGGTAGGCCCGTTTTCGACCGATTTTCTATTCATTATAGGATTTATGCATTATGAGATGCAGGTTTGGCGGTGAAGCGCCCATGCGGTGAGCCCTCGACCTATTCATTATGAGATAATATTCATTATTAGAGTATTCATTATTAGATATTCAACTGTAGACGTCAAGAGGCGAGAGCAAAGTCCCGTGAGGCGCCTGCTAGGATGCTTATGTAAGTGATCGGGATACGGAGTCGTCCATGCCAGCAGCCGACAGCAGGCTCTAAGTTCGCAGCTGTTGTGGTGCCATGAGTTGCTCTAGATCTACGTCGCGCTTCTCAACCGAAAACTCACAAAACACCTGTGTATAGGAGATTTCTCACTGACTAGAGATATTCAGTAGCAACAAGTTGCTAGTGCGGTGTGCACGAACCGCCTACCTCTTTGGCGCAGTCAGGCTCTCGCTCGCTTCCTGCAGAGTTTGAGGTATGTCAGTCCGAGTGCGCCCAGGTCCAACAAATATACTCATGCTCCTCCGAATAGCATGAATACCCTACGTCAGAATGAGGTTCTGGCGTGAGTGATAGTGGAATCTACCGCTCTGATCTATAGCGGAGTGAAAGCCATGACCCGTCTTTCCTCGGGCACCCCGGAGTGTAGAAGATTCAGCCGATATTCTCCGACAGCTGCCCTCGTATTCTGGGAACCCCATGGACCATGTCATGGACAGCATCGCAGTCTCATCGCGACCGCCGCTTCATTTGGGAGGTTTACGTATACGTAGGCTATGTACTGACGGCGCTAGCTCGAAAGAAAGCAACTGCATTGCCGGAAATACAGTGCTTCGCTGGGTTGCCCTGGGCGTATAAATGGTCAACGGCACTGGGAACATTCCCCACCCTTCTGCGTCCGTGCCTACCAAACTATGGAGTCTTATGGTCTGTCTATGGCGGCCGCAGGCATTGTGCCTACATATGACAGTCTGTCAGTTTCTTCCTCGCATTCGCTCGTCCAGACCAGATGAGACTGACTCAATCCTTAGTGCCATCAATTCCTACGGCCGTGTCGCTTCTGCGGGTGTGAACAGTCGTCAATAAACACCTGCTCTAGGCAATTCTGACATGCTTCGCAGCTTTCATTGTCTACGACTACAGCATTACATTCGACAAAGAAGTCGAGATGTTCTGGCAGGATATGTATTCAAAGAAGAAGCTCACAGGGGCAACTGCGCTGTTCCTGGTCAACCGATACCTCGTCCTCATCCTCAGGATAGCGAACTTGGTCGGATTTGTTCCTATGACGGACCAGAAGTATGTGCGTGGCTTCACGAGGGGGCCATACACTGACTGCGGATTAGATGTGCACTCGCGACTCGGGTGGCCTTAGCTTTCACTCTACTACAATACATCCCCTGGGCAGGTGAGCTTGTGGTGAACGCCGTCGCACTCCGTTCGAAGGCCCACATATGTGGCTCCAGCTTTTGCGGCTATGCGGGCATACGCGCTGAGTCGAAACAAACCCTTGTCCGCGTTGATTTTGGTGCTATCAATGACAACAACCGGAATCAATATGGTACGTGCCCTGGATAGGATATGGCTCGATATTACTATCGCTCATGATCGGCTACTGTAGTCTTTGTTTCCTTTCGGCTTCACAGGCTATGTCGATCCCATCTTTGGATGCACGGTTATCGACCCCATCCCACTCAAATTGTCTAGGACGTGAGCGGCTTAATTGTCCAAATCGCCATAACCCTATTGACAAGTACCAGGTGTAAGGATGCCCCTTTGAGCCTAGCGTGATGACAAGCACTGATCACGCCAACCAGTCGTCATCATATGCCGAACATGCTTCATGCTCGCAGATGTTCTTCTCATTTTGATCACCTGGCTCACCATTTCCTGGAAAGGCCTGGTGGATAGTATGAGTCGCAAAGACGTCTTAAATCTTGCCGAAGTGATGCTTCGCAACGGTTGGTGGTTCATTCTTCCACATTTGCTTCCTAGCTGATAGGAATGTTCTAGGTACTACATACTTCGTGTGAGATGGACTGCCTCGCGCCTTCGGCATGTGTCTCACTGCTTCCATAGGGCTTTACTCATCCTACACTGTCTTCATTTGACACTGTCCCTGTGTTCGGTACCATTATTGCTCCTCGGGAACGCTTCATCTCATGCTGATGTCCATATCAGATCCACGTCGCTCTTCAAAGCCTGAGCTATGGCTATGTTACAATTTTTACCGAGGTGTACGTTGTCAGCTCATTTTCCCTGCGGACTGCTTGACAACGTGATCATCAGTGTCGAGGCGTCCCTTGTTTCCCGATTCCTGCTCGACCTACAGGCCGCGCATCGCCAAGCCTTAGACATGGAGTTCGGAAGCGAACAGGCCGCCGGAAATGACTTTGCCGATACACTGGTTTTCGGGCGTGCAGTCGGGTCGATGGATTCGGTGAGAGCACATAGCATGGATGGAGACCAGACGGTGGACCAACAAGTGCATGATGTCGAGGAGAGTCATGACGCATGGGAGGAGGACTGGGAAGCGAACTCAGACGCGGAGCGCGCATGATGGTTGCAGAGCGCTTCGGAATCAGGATAGGCTAGCGCTCGCTTGGACATCGACTGGACAAGGCTCGGTAATCCATCAAACACATCGATCACGATCCACCTGATTGTTCACAACTTCTTGGATTCTATGCCTCTAATACTTAGAGCAGGAGTGGGGCGAAGTATGAGTTAATGAAGCCGACGTTGTCAGGAAGTGCGACTGTTCCGATGTATCCGTCGGAGCGACTCGAACAACCTGGCGCCCATCCGCCCGTCAATCGGCGTATTCACCGCCTCCGGAGCGGCCATGCACGTCCTTGTCGTCAGGAATACCCTGTGAGGAGTGGTATAGACAGTCTTTCCGAGTACTTTAGAGATCGCATCATGCTCGCAGCGAGTAATGGGGACGGGAGAACTCAGGGAAGTCTGTACGAACGGACCTGTCAGTATGGCAAGGAGCCTTTGGTAAGAGATGCACTAGATTCAACTATGCAAAAACCTTGTCCTGCTTTGCAGAACTAAAGCACAGAACGTCGTATACCTCCCAAGCCCTTACGTCCCCACGTCCATACCGCTACAAGGAATTATCCCACTTGTCCAATTCCTCTGCAGGTCTGTGCATTGATTCCGGGTCCCTCTTCTGGGCAATGCTACCAGTGGATACCAATTTCTTCAACAGGGTCTTCGCGGGTCCTGAAACTCGATTGGTTGCGCACTGGCTGTGCCTATGCAGATCTGGGGGAGCACACGCATGCCAATCGTGAGGTTCGCTGCGAGTGTTTGGAACCTGGTATCGACTCGCGAGGAAGACCTGTAGTGGATATCCATGCCGGATGTGAAGCCGCTGTACGTAAGACATGTAGCGCGACGTGACTCGGAGGGAGGCACCTACTTCGAGAATCGCTGAGATATAATCGACCACCACTACAACCGCCGAGACTCACTGAGAGCTCCGCCCGGTAACGACAGTCCATAGATGATTGTGCAAGCAAGAGAAATACGGAACCTTTTCAACCGAGGCTTCACCGTCGTGCGCGATTCCGAATTGACCTTGTACATGAGCGCGAGGCCTAGTCATGACGGAGGGAGTGCTGGAGGGAACGTGAACCTGATAGCGAGAGGCTCGTCACAACGCAGAAAGAGCAACCTACTCTGCAAAGTACATCCGTGACTGTCACTAAACAGCGGTGGGAGATGAATGTACAGATCTTAAGAATGTAATACTCTAGCTTACGTCAGGGGCGTCACGATAGTAGCGTGCATGAAACGGAGTGACGAAGCAGAGTAGAAGCCCATATCATATTGACGTTGTGATTGCAAGTAAGGTTGCGACATCTCTCCACCCGGGCAAATAAATATTCGGTCCAATTCGGATCCACTGTGCGAGCAAGAAAACCATGCTACGGCACAGTGGTCGGTTGTAACGCGGCCTAGATGAGCAGCAGTAAGTATCAACGCAGACCTACTGGCACGATACACTGTAGCTGTGACCGATGATGATAGCACAGAAGACACGGTAACGCAGGGGGATGGCAAAACCGCCGAAGTGGATGTGCATTAGAGACTAAATATGTTTTATAGAGCGTGAGATAGGCAATGCAAACATGGGCAGACAGACGTGGCAATCGTATATGGTGCGTACGTGGTATCATGGGTCCGTGGCTGCGGCGTCGTGGTGCAGGGCGGGGCGGGAGACGTGGGAAGTGGATTGTGGGATGTGTGAGGTGTGAAGAGCGGGCAGCGGAAAGCAGGCAAAGCACTAGACACGAGGCATATGGATGGACGGGGACTTGACATGCGGAGGGAGATATCGAGAGGAAAGATGAAGGCTATTGAACAGAAGTGTCGAAGTGTCGAACTAGGCCCAAAAGATGGAATTGGATCGCAGGTGGCGCAGATGATAAATGCTGTTACGGTATGGGTCAAAAATACAAATACACAACACAGATAGGAAGGTCGCGAAGAGCGACAATGCACTAAATGAAAACACGACTCAAGAGAATGAGACGAGAAGAGCACGGAAAGACCCAAAAGGAGCCAAATTGAAACAAAGACACAGCTCTAGAACCCAAAAGACGACCGAATGGACCGCATAGGAGGCACATACAGGACGGATGGGCGCGCCAAGGCACTCACAGCCAATGCTATGAAGCCGCAGAAGGCTGCTGGGATTCGTGTGTTTGCTGCAGCCCTCGTCTTCGACGCTCCTCCGCGATGCTGAGCATGCTCTTCAGACTCTTCTCGAGCACCGGTTTTGTGAGAACGCTGAAACAAGCCCCGCATCAGCAACTGGCCTGCAACAGGATGGATGGAGTACGCACTGATCTACCCCCGCATTCACATACTCCTGCTGGTCGCTCAGCAGCGCGTTCCCAGTAACTCCAACCACGAAATCCTTCCGATTCAGCGCCCTCAGCTTCGCAACCGCATCCAGCCCCGACAGCACCGGCATCTGGTTGTCCAAGAACACGACCGCAAACCGGTACTCGTTCTCGTTCGCCCCCACACCGTCCAGCGACAGCCCGCCCGAGCCCGTGTCTTCCGACGACGGCGTCTCGCGCTGCGTCGTCCCGTGCAAGATAAGGTCCAGCGCGACCTCGCCGTTCTCCGCCGTCATCACTTTGCACCCTAATCGGGTGAGCATCCGGCTCATTAGCTTCCGCGTGAGCGGATCGTCATCGACGACGAGCACGTTCAGCTTCCAGTCGTCCCGCGCGCTCGACCCAGACGTCAATAGTGACGAACCGCCCTGGCCTGGCGGTGTGCCCGTCCCGGCAGAAGACGTGGGCGAGATGAGCGCGCCGTCGACGGTGAACGCTTGCGGTTTGGGCAGGTGCGTCAGACGCAGCCCGCGCACAGTGTCTGACGAGTTCTCCGCGGGAGGCCCGGGTCGTTGCGGATGTGGTGGCGAGTCGTCCCCACCTGGAGTCTGCAGCTCTGTTCCTGTCGACGGGTCCCCGATCGTCCGTGTAAGCGGCCCCTCCGTCGGCTGTGTCGAGATCTCCACGAGCCCAGCTGGGTGTATGCGCGTCTTAGCATCACGCTGCCACCATACACGAACCAAAAAAGGCGAGCGCACCTTGCTCCATGATACTGTGCAGCGCTGACGAAGAATAGGACTGGTTGAAATTGAGGGATGAGCGGACATGGTCCAGTCCGTCCCGACCCACAGCCCCTACCTTGGGCACAGTTGGGTCGTGGTCCCTGTGACTCCCGTACAACGCCCCTCGTGGACTGCCGTACTCGTCGTCGTCGATGTCGGCGGGCAGATTGAGCGCTGGGAGCGCCTTGCTTCCGACGCCGAGAGCTTCATCGACATACCGTCAGTAAAACCTTGCGGTCAAGACGTGATGCAGGGACTCTACACTCACGAAGCTCAACCCAGAACGTCGATCCCTCCCCGACCTTGGACTGAACACCAAGACGTCCGCCACTGAGCTTCACGATCTGCCTCACGAGCGCGAGGCCGAGCCCAGTGCCCTTGCCACCCTGCAGTCGTCCCTGCTCCGTCTGGTTGAAGGCAGCTACTCTCGCGCATCAGTAATGAATGTTTACCTCCGACCCCACCACGACGATACGAAACCACTCACAGAATAGCTTGCTCTGCACCATGTCCTTCGGCCTGATGCCGACGCCCGTGTCTTTGACCTCAATCCGGACCACGATCCACTCCAGCGGCGGCGCCGGCTTCCCGGTCAGCACGTTGTGCTGGTTCAGGTGCGACTTGGACAGCTTGTGATGCTCGTTCGCGCCCGCGGACCTCGGCTGGCCCCCACCGCTCTCCTCGTCGTACACGCTCCGCCTCTCCGCCGCATCTCCCTTCTCCGCTCCGTCCCCGTCCCTGTCCCCATCTCCATCACCATCCTCGTCTTCGTCATCCTCCCCGTCCTCTCCCACCATCGACGAATGCCGCCCGGGAATGACGAGCTTGGTCGTGATAGTAAGCTTCCCGCCCGCAGCCGTGAACTTGCACGCATTGCTCGCCAAATTCGTGATGATCTGCCGCAGCCGCGTCTCGTCGCCCACGACGATCCCGTCCTCGTCCGGGCTATCCTCAAACTTCCGCCGAATGTCCTCCTCCGTCTCGCCCATCGCCTCGTACAGCGCCCGGCGCGCGACCTCGTCGATGGAAAGGTCCAGGTCCGTGATGAACTCCAGCCGCCGCGCGTCCGTCGCCATTCTGAGCGGGATGAAGAGCGAGCGCATGACCTGGTGGAACTTGTACGGCTTCAGCACGGACTCGAACCGCCCGCTGTCCATGCGGTTACTGAAAGCGGGAGCGTCAGCTGTCGAAGCGAGCACGCCATCGCGGAGCGGAGCGGAGATAGGACGTACAAATCGAGGACGTCGTTTAGGACTTTGGACATCATGCTCAGACTCCCTTCGAGCGCCTTGAACTCAATGTCTTGTGTAACCGCTCCCGAAGCCGCCATGTTCTGGACAGCGAGGACTGCATCAAGCGCGCATACATTCCGTTTAGCACAGCCCAATTTATGACGACCAGCAGTGGCAAACACGTACGCGCAGTGTTAAGAGGGACACGGACTTCATGGAAGACGTATGACGTGAGTCGCCGTTTCGAATCCGACGCCTTGCGTTCGTTGACCTGTGCCTTCTGCGTCGCGCGAAACTGGACCTTGAGCTGATCCCGTAGCGTGTATAATCGTCTCTCGGCCTGATATCGTCACATCATATCCATGAGCCTTAAACAACCCAAACCAGTCAGGTAGTGTACCTACGTTTTCACGCATATAATGGATATAGAGCAGGAAGCCCTGGAAGAACGCGAAGTTCATCAAATCTGCGGAAGATTAGGGATTAGAACGACGACTGGCGCAAGATGTTTAGCGTGACGTGCTTCGCACAAACGTTGTCTTGTGAGGGACGATGAGTGCAAAAGACCTGCATTCATGTCAATATTGTTCAGGGCACACCAGACGACGTCGAAGACTTACATGATGAAGAAGACCAAGGCACCGAGCATGGCAGGGAATCTGTGCAGTTTCAAGCCAAACAGAGCGATGGTCTGCAATGCCGAAGTATAGCTGGCGCGATCACCGTCAAGACGACCTTCGCCATATGATGGTGGACAAGAGACTCACTAGAACAGCGTCAGGTAGTCCTTGTTATTGCAGGTAAATAGCGACCGAGATGGATCGTACTGTCCACAGAGGTACCTGCATATGGCGAACGAGTGTGAACTCTCGTTCCACGTTGAGCCTGGAGAGGCATTTGTCACTCACATGAAGAGGATCTGGTATATCGACCAGATCCAGATAGCGAACACAAGCACGACCTGGTAGATCGTGCTCTTATCTCGTGGCCAGTCATAGATGACCATCGGAGGGATGATGAAGCTGAAAACTGGGGCGACGCCCCAGTAAAAGATCTTGTCTGCGAGGGTCAGCGGACGGGGGATGAAGCCGATACCAAACGCCCAGTTGACGATGAGGAAGGCTGACGACCACAAGGCAAGGTTCTGTTAACCACAAAACGCATAGTGAGTATTATCGAGTTCAGAAGCACGACGAGAGAGCCGGTGAAACATAGAAAGAGAGTAGCCGAGATGAGGGAGCGACGTCAAGTGCAAAGCTTGAGCATCTCCAAGCAGTCGGCGAGATGGTCAAATATAGCAACCAGGCTAGCTTTGGCGGCCTGAGAAGAATATTCATGATCTCCACAAGTGAGAAAGCAGCGAGAAGATGTGACTAGGCGTGACTGCTATCGCAGGGCCGGCATGCCCGGAATCGATGTCAGAAGTGGTAGACAGCATACTCCGCGGCGAGGGGATCTGAGCCAACGATGCCAGCGAATGTTGCACATCCAGGGCTTCTCATGGGGACAGTAGGGAAGCGAACGTGGCATAACGAGCCAGGCACTGCGCGCTGCGTCGTTATGACTGCCGCTTCTCTGACAAGGTAAAGCCAGAGGAACGGGAGCATGCAGAGCGCAAACAAGTGCAACTTCGGGGCCCAGAGGTCGACAAACCAAAAGATGAACCGTACCCAGGACTACTACGGAATTCGAGGACTCACCTTTCGCAAAAACCAGTTCTCCTTGATATAATGCATCTCCGACTTCTCGTCCATAAACCTCGTGCTGAAGAACGAGTGCACAAGCGGCCACAGCCGCCAGCGGACGAAAATGAGCGGTCTGCACACGCCCCAGAAGCCCTCGGGGTGGATCGCGAACGAGTCGCGGTCGGTGTTCGTCCCGCCCAAATGATTGCTGCCCGTCTTCTCCGGGGTGCCGCCATGCTCCGAATGGGTGACCGAGCTGCTCTTGATCTCGTCGGACCACTCGCGGTCGACGACGACCTCGTCGACCCTGTCCTCTACCTGCTCCTCTCCGCCCCCGGCCTGGCCGTCCTGGCGGGAGCGCGGGTAGCCCGAGCTTTCTCCCACGCTGTCGTCGAAGTTGGACGAGCTCGAGGGCGCGGTGCCCGAGCCAAGTTTGCGCACAAAGCGGTCCCAGTGGACGCGGAGGCCGCCCGAGATGCGTGCGTTCTTCTTCATGCGCAGGCGGCGGTCGTTCGATGGGTGGTTGGCGGGGTACGAGACGGGGGGCGGGAGCCCGTCTGAGGGGAGCCGGAGGCTCGTTCGGGGCTTCTCTGTGGCCATGAAGGAGGAGGTCAGGTCATCGCGCTTGGTGGACGTCGCACTGGCGGTCCAGGAGGCAAAAGAGTTGCCCGAGCGAAAAAGCATGGGATCGGAGTTTCAGCTCAACACAACACTTGTGCTCCGGAAAAGACCTTGTCCGGTACACACGCACGCACGGAAAAGTCGAGGAGGAAGGAGGTGAAGACCAGACCAAGCCCCGTACAGACGGCCGGGGGCAGATGCCAGTGGGTTGGGCGGTCAGCGACGGACGACGAGCGACGAGCAAGCAGAGTATGGCGGCGAGGACGAGGAAGGGGAGAAAGCGTGTTAAGCTTTGGAACCGAGGATATTGAGTGACAGAACAGTGACCATAAACGGACTCGATCAGTCCCGTCCAATACCCACGGCGCCTCTGCGGCTGTGTGCCTCCCTGACGTCATGTCCGTCCCTGCGCTCGACTCGCGATCGCGCCTGATCGCGCAGTCCTGCAGCGGCCAGCGGCGGCATCCCACTCGCTCCGCCTGCCAGCCGGCCGCCACACGGCCCCTTCGAGTGCGCCGTCGGGCCAGCCATGGCCCGCTTTCCTCGGGCCGTAGGTTATCCCCCGGCCGGCTGACGGCGGAAGCAGTTGAGGCCTGGGCCCTGGCCGACCACTCCGCCCACTCGCCGTGAATACGAAGTCTCTCTTTTGGTGACTTTACACAAGTCGCCGCTACTCGTGTGCTGCTGGCGGGCACCATGATGCAGGGTCGCCTTGACGGCGTGGCTCAAGCCTGCGCATCTGTCACCTCCTCCGCACGTCTATTCACCAGGACGAGACCGGCCGAGACGCCAACAGGTACTTATGAGAGGCTCGTTCTCCCTTTCAGCCACGCGCGTCCGTCACCACCTACAGTATCTGAGCGCCTCTTCGACCACGCCCCGCGGTACGCTCATACCTCGTCCTTCTTCAGGACACACCGCATCACATACGCATCTTCCCCATCCGCATCTACAGCACCCGGAACAGAATAGGTACATCAGTACTCAGGACGTGGCCCAGCAAAAGGCAGCGACGAGCGGTTCTAACACGTACAGTAGCCCTTCTCCGTCTCCTGCACCCGAAAGCCGAGCGTGTCCCGGTACAGCCCGATCGCTGCCCGGTTCGACTTCCGGACGTGCAGCATCACGTACCCGGCGTTGTACACCTCCGCCATCGCCCGCTCTAAGTATGTTCAACAAGTCAGAAGTCAGAGGTCAGAAGTCAGGACGCGACATGATGCCTGCGACCTCGTGGCGATTGCAAGGCGCACGTACGGGACTGCAGCATGAGCCGCTTCGCGAGCCCCAGCCTGCGGTACGAGCGCAGGACGGAGATGGAGACGACGTGCCCGTGCGCCTCCTCGCCTTCGCCGACGTCCTCGTCCCTGTCAACGTTCGATATCTCAATGAGCGTAATCCTTCTCAAACGAAATGAACTCCGGCACCCGGGCCCGCCGACTCACATCCTCGCGAGTATGTACCCCACGATCCGCCCACCGTCCTCCGCCACGTAAGAGAGCTGCGGGTGCGACAGGAGATAGAAGAGATCTGCATGGGGGATCCGCGTGTCAGCCTCAGGCTACGCACGGCTTCCCGTCGAGGCACAGGATCTGGAACATCTCAGCCCAGTGCTAGTGAGTACGAGACGCATACAGTAGCGCATCGTGTAGTTCTCCGGCAGGTTCTGCAGGTTGCACGCTTGCATCGCGGTGAGGTCCTCGACCTGCGAGCCCAAGCAGATGAACAGGTGCGCAGTTGAGTGTATGCGCGCGTATACTGTAGCACTGGAGGGGGGCGGGAGACGCACCCGGGCGAGCCGTATGCTCAGCATCTTGCGAGTGCTATCCGAAGTCTAACCACAGTGTTCTTAGCCGTTCTGAAGGCTACTCAGCAGAGAAGACGGCGTCGATCAAGGCGATCGCTGCGATGGAGCGTAGAGCGTTTTGTAACCGTGTCTTGCGGTCCGGATATAAGGCGAAGATAGCATCCTTCGAGGCGCTGTCGATCGTTTTTCTGCGTGTTGCATCACGCGACGACATGACGGACCTGAAGAGGTGATACGAAGAGCTGTATTCTCTCTGAGAAGCGCAGAGTCCGACTTGATGATCATCAAATCCTCCGGAGAGGGCGGCGTGGTGCAGGATCTACATGAAATGTCAATAGCTGCCGCGGGAAGCGCCTGAGCTGCCTTATCGGCATCCGTGGCAGCGCCTTCAACTTGGAGGTCAGGCTATAAGAACACATGGTGGTATGGAGATGAGCCGAGTTCGCGCACGCGGCATATGCGTATGTAACATATGCAGCGCGTCACCCTTCAGTTGTTCATGGCGGGCCCCACTCAAGTAGACGACATGAAGCCATAGTGGGCCCGCTACCGCCCCTCTACCGCGCCTCGCATACAACCACCGAGATCATACAAGAATCGACACAGCATGTCTGTGGAAAGAGGGTAATGTTACAAGTTACATTGGAGCTAGGAGATCAGTACTAGGAGAGTACTGCTCGCCGAATTCTCAGGACATGCCCTCGGAGTGCGAGAAGCCGTCCATATGCTCCCGGGTCTCAACACCGCTGCCTTAGCTCCGAGGGCGACCTGTCTCCTCCACTTCCGAAGAAGTCCCTCTGATGGAGGGAACACCCAGGGAGCCAATACCGCTGTCCAGGATGACCGACGTCACTTGAGGCGACCCATGAAAGCCTTGCGACGCCTGCAGTGGTCCCAACGGCCGCCTGGAGGTTGATGATGGAGCGCGAGGGGAGGATCTCTGAGGTACCGGATGTGGGTGTTCAAACGTTCAGGACGGATCGGAAGGCGGCCGGAGTGAATGTGGACGCACGCCGTGACTAAGACGCTGACGGCACTCATTGGAGCGACGTGACGCTGAGTATTTGGTGACCATGATCAAACCGAGGAGCAGTTTCCGTTACGATACTCAGCCTGAGGTCTGCCGCTTCAAAAGATGAGCTTGCGACGTAAAAGATAGATGTGGTACCTGTAGTACGGACATCAGCAGACATCTACGGAGTACCAATAGTGATGTTCAAGGCCGGGCTTCAAGCCCTAAAGCCCCGGGTACCCGGCCCTCAAAAGCCCAGCCCAACCCGGCCCTCCGTCGGGCTTTCAGGGCTTGAGGGCTCGGCTTGAGATTTGGTAGGCCTGAGCCGGGCCCTCAAGCCCGGGCTTTTGACCCGCCTGCGTATTTACTCGAGTATCACTTCAGATGTTAAGAAAGATGTCTGCATGGTATGATCAAGGGCTGAATTGACTTCGGAAAAGCACTTTGTGACTCACAGGAAAGAACAACGCAGCTCTACAGGCAGCCGGAGCTCGCGCACTTGGAAATGGGCGCTAGCACTGCCGGATTTGGTGACTCCGACACTCTCACTCTCTCAGAGCGCGCACTTTCCACGATCTGTTGTCCGAGTCTCAG